CCTCTGGGTACCTGGTGGTAGTACACATGATTAACAAATATTGGTGGCCACATCGAGTTTTTGGGAGAGGACCTACACAGACAATTATAACCCTGCTAAATGGCTCATCTACCACAGGAATGGGTTTTAGGGGAGCAGGTTTTATGACCTGATTCGGTTTACCAGCCATCTGACATTCATGGCAAGTTCTACAGTATCTGGCAACATCACCTTTCATTCCAGGCCAGTAAAAATGCGACAAAATCTTTTTGTATGTTTTCCTAATTCCTAAATGTCCTCCCAAAAATTCGTGTGCCAATTTCAAGACTTCTCCCCTGTGACATCTGGGAATCACAACCTGATGCACAACATTCCACTCATCAGCAGGATTAGATACAGATCTGAACTTCCTCATAAGTAACCCTGAATCCATGTAGTAACAAACAAACAAGCAAGCAAGCCGCTTCTTCCATATCCACAGCCTTCCTACATATTTCAGCTAATTCGGAGTCACTCTGCTGATCATCTATCAGTTTTTCCCTAGTGACAGGTGCTTTCTGAATGGTAATGTTGTCACCAGAAGAGATCAGCTTCAGATTTTGGGGAATGAATGTTAACTGAATCTTTAGCTTCTCTCACATCTCTCCCACCAATGTCATTATCAAATGAATCATCCTGACTGTCAGATTCTCAATACCTAAATCATTTTCATCATTGCCAGGTGCATTACTATCAGCAATACAAAGCTTAGGGTCAACTGAAGGATTAGTCTGTACCTTATTCCGAAGAGTCTGGCTCCTTGTAACTGCACATAAAGGAAATAAATCAGGGTATTCTTCTTCAATTAAACCAGTATTATTCTCCACTGTAGGAGTCGAAGATACCACAGGATCTGGCACCACGCTGGCTCCTGCAATATCATTACCCAGCAAAAAAGTAACCCGTCACAGGAAGAGAATCTTGAACACCAATAGTCACCCAACCAGTCACAAGTGGAGTTCTCAAAAACACCCTACACAAAGGAACAGTGATCACTCCACCGACACCCTTAAGCACCAAATGCTCTCCAGTATAGGAATCTTCCATGCAGGGAACAGAATACTGTGAGAAGCACCAGTGTCGCGCAAAATCTTCGCAGGGTACTGATCACCTACAATAATTCTTCAACTGCAACTGAACCATCAAAATGAAAGGTTCAAAAGAATCCTCCTTTGGGCGATTACAAACTAAAGTTTTGTCAAACTTCTCCAGAGGTTCGAATGAGAGCACTGGCTCTTCCTTCTTTGCTTCCAATTTAGGGCAATTCACAATCACATGACCTGGTTTCTTACAGTAAAAAGACAAATGCTTTAGTCTTGGCATAGGTCTTGGAAAGCTCACCTGAGTTTCCACGAAAATTTACTTTACTAGAAGAAGCAGTACTACTATCTTGCCTACCACCCTTTTCCTTGGTTACAAAACCCTTTCCACCTGAATGATTTTGAGATTTGACAGGATGCATTTTGCGAGTTAGGGCATAGCTATGAGCTAATGCAGCAGCTTTATGAACATTACTAATCTCTCTCTCTCTCCTAAGTACAATTGTATATCTCTTGGAGTGGCTCTTTTGAACTGTTCTAAAATCATCAACTCGACAAGTTCCTCAAAAGTTTCTACCTTGCTAGACTTTATCCACCTTCCACATTTTACTCAATGAATAAACAAATTCTATATATGACTGTGCATCAGTCTTTCTCATAGTCCTAAATTTCACTCTATATGTTTTAGGAATGAGTTCATATGCCTTAAAAATTTCTTCTTTCACTAACTTATAACTACGACAAACTTCACTTGACAAAGACAGAAATGCTGAACGAGCTGACCCAGCGAGCACACTTTGAATCATAGCAATCCACGACTCTTCAGGCCACTGAAAAGACTTTGCAATTTTCTCAAACTGCATGAAAAACGCTTCTGGGTCCTCCTCGTCAAAAGCAGGCATAAGTCTCATATGTTTTGTCTCATCAAACAATTTTGTCTCAGATTCAAAAGACAATGCCTGCAAGTCTTGTCTTCTACTGCTAACCTGTGCTAACGCTAATTCATGCTGCCTTTCACGCTCTCTTTCCCTTTCCTCTCTTTCCTTCAAAGTCAACTCATGCTACATTTCTAACTTTCTGATCTCTACAGCTTCCCTGGGGTCAAATGAACACAAAGTCAGTGCCCCCTTCGGTAGCACCTCTTCATTCACAAGTTCAGTTAGTACTGCATTTTGAATTTCAGACTTTCTTTGACAACAACCACATCCATTACTACAACCACACCCACATCCAGTACTACAACCACAGAAGATTTGTAACCAGGTGAGAAGGTTGGGTCATCTTACCCTCTGACCTGACTACCGACCGCTGCGGTGCTTTTTGAAGATTTGTAGGGTCATTACCTAATACCTGACCATTGTGGACTTGATCTCACCCTCCTTTATATATATACCTTGTTATGTACTTCTCCTTAGTCTGTACTCACCCCTGAAGATGTGAATTACACGAAAGCACTTGGGAACTTCGGTTTTCTTCTTTTCTTGTGGTTATCAGCATATACCTGGATCACGCCCACCTCTTTTTCTTCTCAGCACCACAAGAACTCTCACTTTTATGCTTGCCAGCCATTTTAAAGGGAATTACCAACAAAAATTTTGTCAGTACACAGCACGATCACTAACATCATATGTCCGTGTGGTCATAAGTCGAGGAGTACCTTATACTGTATATATACTGTGCATTGTTCCTATACAGTGGTCCCTCGGTTAACGAATTACCTTCCATAAGAATCTTCATTTCGGTTAACGAACAAAAATCCAGTTAACGAAATTCTTTCAAAAATGTTTCGACATGATTTGGCTTGCTCACCAGCTGGAAGATTAGTCCGTCAATACAGAAATCGGTTCTAGGGCTTACATTCGTTAAAATTGGAGTAAATATCAATTAGGTTGTACTATTCAATAAGTTTCCAAGTTTTATATTAAATTTTTTAGTCATTTTAACACTTATTTAACATAATTGCAGTACAGGGAACTAGTTTTTGGTGTGCCCATCAGCCACTTCACTCACCCACCAAGGCCTCAGTTTGTATCTCTGTTCAGTAGAGGAAACATCTTGCTTGTGGGTCTCTTGAACACAGAGTATTTTTACGTTTTTACAGTACAATTATTGGTAATTCTGAAATTTATTTTACATATTGACAATATATAGTGCAGTGTTGATTTAAAGAAAATAATCTTGAATTACACCTAGTGAACTTAAAATTTTATGGGTGAAATGACGGCATCAAGCATGGGGTGATTTCTCTTCCACCCCCACTTCCTTCTCTTCTCCCTTCTCCTCCACCTCCACTTCTAATTCCCATCATCATCAACCAGGAGCCTTCTACATACACACCTCAAAGTAAGTGTACTTTACTGCATTTTTTTTTACTTTGTAATTTTTGGTGAGCTGGAACCAATTACCCAAAATCCCATTGAAACAATGGATTCGGTTAACGAACGACCCTCTGGAACGAATTGTGTTCGTTAACCGAGGGACCACTGTAGTTATTTACTTGTGATATTTTGTTTTACTTTACATAAGAAATTATGATAAGTTACCAACAGTATTCTTGTATTTATGGATCTTTAAAGCAGTAGGTCTGTTAGAACCATAGCAGGTACAGTACAGCAAGTCCTCATTTAACGGTTTCGTTATAACGTCGCTACTCTTTAGATACCCATGATTCCGACAATGCCCAACCGATTCGTTATAACGCTGTCACCCAACACGCACTACTTTGTATGGTGCATCACCCTCCCTCATCTTGGTGTGCTACGCTCTCTTGGCTCTCTCATCTTGGCAAGCTACGCTCTCTCGCGGAGCGTCACAGCATCCCCAGTCTTTGTTAGGCTTCCACAGCACATGTGCGTGCCTCAGTGTTTTTGCTATAAATACTGTACTGTAACCATTCGAAATGGCTTCCAAGCGCCCATCAAGTGTTAGTGTTGTGAAGAAGCAATGCAAGACCATTAACCTTGCTACAAAAATGGAGAGGGAATCCCCCTCCGGGTCTCAGTGACTAGCCACCCTCCCCTCCATTACCCACCACACACTTGCTCCGCCTCTTACCATCAGTGAGTACAATGCAAAATTATTTATTTTATTTATCTTTTTGGATGTATAATATATATTTTCTATAAAAATTCCATTGAATTTATGTATATGTAATGCATTTCATGGGGCAAAGGGAGGCTGGGGAACGTAACTTGCGTATTTTATCTATTATGGGGAAAATAGATTCTGTTAATGTTGTTTTTCATAATGTAACCATGACCTTAAGCGAGGACTTACTGTACTATAATGTAAGCTTTACCTCTAACAAGACTCTCACTGTGTATATATTCACTGTAGATTGATTATTAATTATGGTTGTATATAATTTCATGTTTAAGTAATTTTGTTAAACTGCAGAGTAACTAAGTATTTTACACACTGTACCATAATGAATTTGTACTGTTTCATAAATTTAATAAATATATCTCACCTATTGACACCTAAGTTTCTGTTAACCTTTTCGTCGTGATTCTTGCACTTACCCATTTAATCAGCTTTGGGTAACCTCTTGCAGCCAAAGGATTAAACTCATCTTTATTAACCCTTTCGCTGCGATTCCCACAGTTACAATTTTATTCCGTCTACTGCCAACCATTTTATTCAGCTTAGGGTCACCTCCCACAGCCAAAGGGTTAACTGGATGTAACCTGACCTGATGTAACCCAACTCAAATACATATACAATGACCATTAGGCCAGGGCCAAACACTGTACATTATCCACTAAGCCACACCCCTACCATTACTGCAATATAAACTACAGTGGTATATATAGAAGGCTTGGACTAATGAACATCAAATAATAGAATGCTATACACTATGGCTACATCAATACCCCTAGCTGCAACCTTGACTAAACATTACAAAATACTCACCTGACATTTTTTTAGTCCAGAAAAACATGGTTGATTCTGTTGCCTTTATTTTCTCTAAAGTGTACAATTCCAATGCACCAGTCCATGTTACCTGGGGAAAATATACAAACTTTTTTTGTATGGACAGAAAGTGTTGGTAGAGCGTAATTGAGGCAGTCGTATTTTTTTTTAAATCAGGATTTACAAAATTCAGGATTAAAACTTAGCTATCATGCTGCCTAGTGGTGAAGTAAACAGCCATTTTATGAACAGTCGTCAGTACCATCCCATGTATATACTGTAAACACAACAATGTGCTGTTCATATACAGTTAATCAAGTTGATTTTTCAGTTTTTGGATGGTACAGGGTATTACATTAGTAAATATGATGGAAATCATATTTCTAAATGACTAGAAGAATATTATTATTGAAATAAACAATCAGGCCCAAAGTTCTCAATGAGCAATTCATCACTGAGAAGGCATGGCCTAGACAACCCTAACCCAAAAATAAGCTCAAAAGTATTTCAGGAAATAAACCATTGAACTTTACTGGATCCCCTGAGCTTCTGCTCAGATTCTTTGAACATCACTGAGGACACTCAGGCAATATCTGATTTCATTGATAAATCTTTGTGACCTCTGCTACAACACTGACAGCCAAAATGTGTCGCATAATAATATAAAAATTTGCTCCATCCTTAAGGTACACAATGTGCCCTAAAGATTTTTTTTTTTCAATTTAAGTTCACAAACCAGGAATTGTAAAACCTTGAATTGTCAAAAGTAAGTGATGTGTACTTTCCTAAGAGGAGAACTCGCCATAAACAGATAGAACTTTTAACAAAACTAAGGCTAAGACAAACTATAGTTAACAATACACACTGCCATAGTATAAAATTACCATAAATGTGTAGGCTTATAAAAATAACACCAGAACATAGCACACATGCCCAAATATCATGAGTACTGTACATCCATCATAAAAAGACAGGCCACAAAGGCAAATTTTATCCCACATACATCACCCTCTTATTGGCAATATAGATACACTTTTTTCCAGGTAATGTCATCACAAAACCTTGCACATCTGTAATCAGCATTACAGGGTAGTACTCTGAAAGACATACTTTCTTTATATTGATATGAGACCAAGTCATTTTTAATTGACCTATTAAATAAGCTCACCCAACACTAAGCATCTTCAACAGCTGTTACAAATACTAGTAGAAATTTATTGATTGCTTATCACGCAGCCACATTGGCAAATTCACAACCATTTTTGCTTCAAGTGAATTTTCATTGAAGTGAATACAGGTACAATGCTATGAAGCTTATGACCCAATCTTGGTTTATTTATAATTATGAAAATGTATGGGGTTTTAGGACTCATAATTCCCGAAACAAACTACCCCGGTAAACTCATTGATAAAAACATGCTATGACTAATAATTTCCTTTTATGTACCTTAAAAGTTCAACAGACACAATACTTTTCAGTCTCATTATTCACAAGATTACTGTACAGTACTGTATACCAATTAGCTGCTAGAATCATTATACTGTATACTGTTAAGTGATTTCCTCATTCCAGGGTATTTTTATGACAAACAATCATAAATAACGACTTGTGGATATTAAAAAAATAAAATAGGCTTTTATATGAAAGAATTTCATATTCTCTAAAAGTAATCACTGTACATCAAAATTACTACAGCTAATCAAGGGATATGGTTTGGTAGGTACACTGTGGGCATTGGGTATTTAGAAATCTGACATCAGCTACATTCTTGATAAAGCAATGGAGTCAATGTGTTAGTAATGTAACTACTGTATTGCAAGGAGTGCTCATTCTCCAAATGAATTAACAAGCTATTTCTGATGAGAAATCCAAAGTTAAATTTTAATGTGGGCTGTATTAAATAATCTATGTACAGGTCGACCATCGATTTTCTGGCAATCACTGGTCCAGAACCTCTGAAGGTCCAGACAGTTTTACGGTAATGGGATTTCAAATTTCCTGTGCTCCACCAGAATAATTTACCGAGCCGCCATTGATGTTCTGGTGTGCTACTAGTCTACCGCCCGCCCTCAAAGCTTCTTTCCATTCGACAGTTTTGTACCTTCACTGTTTTCTGGTAGCCTGTACTGTACTACAACCCCAAATATGGCTTCTAAGAAAACACCAAGTGTCAGTGGTGATGTGAAGCGTAAACACCATTCGCTGTTAATACAAGAGAAGGTAGAACTTCTTTAGAATTGGAAAGTGGTATGTCAGTCCAAACCTTGTGTGATGTTTATGGTGTTGGTTCATCAACTGTACATGACAAAGAAGTAGAAGGAAAAGCTTTTAAAGTTCTTTGCTGACAGTGATACAAAAAACCAGATGACCTTTAGAAAAACATGAAAGATGGTAAAAGTACAGAACATATAAAGTAACGATTTAATGGTTCCGACTACGTCTTAGTGAAGATATTGAACTTTCAGGTGATATGGTAAAGGCCCAGGCTAAGTGGTTTCATGATGAACTTGGATTAGACTATGAATTTGAATATACAGAGGGTTGGCTTCAGCATTTTAAAAAGCAACATGGTTTAAGTTTTCATAACGTGTGTAGTGAAAGACGTTCTGCGGACAAGGAAGCAGCTGCCAAGTATGTGAACAAGTTTCCTAAATATTGGGGATGTACACCTTGAAGAACATTAGCATTTGCATACAGGATTCAAAACCTCAAAGGATATTGTAACACTTCTAGGATGCTCAAATGCAGCTGGAACACACAAGTGAAGTTGATGGTCATTGGAAAAAGCCTGCATCCTAGTGTTTTGAAAGATACCAAGTGATTTATCGTTCAAATGAGAATGGCTGGATTACCACGGCCCTTACTTAGGAGTGGTTTGAAAAAATTTTCAGGCCAGAAGCCTAGACAAAAAATGCAAAATAATTCTTATTCTCGAGAACTGTTCAGCACATCCCAAGGCAGAACTCTTTGTGACGAATAAGGTCTGTGGGGTATACCTGCCTCCTAATTGTACATCTCTTATTCAGCCACAGGATCAAGGTATTTTACGCTCTCTTAAATCAAAATATCGTTCAGTTCCTGCAATGGCTATTGAGTGCAATGAATTCTGGTAAATCAGTGGTCATTTATTAAAGAATTTAACTGCTGCTTGTGGGGGGGCAATGTAGATGCAGCAACATTTAAACATGGCCAGCATAAATTATGGCCAGCATTGATGCTTGAGAGTAGCCCTGGTGAAGATGATGAAAATTAATTCACTGACTTCTGGACATTTAAACAAAAAGAAGTTGTACCAGAACTACTTGAGTATGCTAAAAATGCAAGTGCACCTGTTCCTGCAGAAGTTGCATTGAAGTTGATGAAGAAAACATTACCAAGTGGATGGATGTGGACATAGATATACCTTCTGTCCATCACTACAGTGATTCTGAGACTGTGGATATGATTGTAAATCCTGACTAAGATAAAGAAACTGACGGAGGGAGTGGTGATGAAAATGAAGACACTGCTGAAAAAACGTCCATTGACCTGTTAATTCAGTTAACCAATGATTAAATAAACTGGTTAGAACAACGCAGCTTTAAAATGGATCAATAACTACTGCAGTTACACCTGATATAAGGTAAACTATTCAAGAAATGACCAGATTACATGAAATAGCTTAAACTACAAGACATGTTTAAGACGATGACAAAGAAAAGTGCAGAGCAACACTCGACAAGAAAATCCTGTGGCCTCAACTTCGGCTGCGGCAGATGTGCTGCCGCCGCCACCAGTCCCTGATGTCCAAAGTTAGAGAAGATAATACAGACAGTCCCCCACTGCCAGAAATATAAATTGTAATCACCTCTACATTAAGACTCATCCATTTGGGAGTGGAAGTAATGCAGCAATTGATGTAAGTACAGTAAACAATAAACCTCCCTATACCTGTTTTTCCTTTAACAATTGCTTATGTCATATTGAATTTCTAGCAGATCAGAGTGCTTTTATAATTAGTGTGAGGTGTATAACTATTGGGTCAGAGGCTATGGGAGTGATAGTTCCTTCAGTGCCCTGACCACCCATGGTTCGGTAAAATCGATAGTCAATGTGTACCGTCATCTTATTTTAAGCAGTCTGTCTTAAGTCAGGAGTGTGCAAATTGCTCTTGACCTCAACGTTTCATATTACAGGTTGACCTTCTCTTAGCTTAGCTATCCCATAATGTTCTGCATTTCTTTGCATACAAATTTGAGATACAGTACATCATAGTGAATAAATTTAATGAATAAAGAGATAACATGACTATATTTAATAAATACTGTCTATAATAAATGAAAACCTAAAACAAAAAATGTATGAACTTAGCAACGTTATGTCTGGCTGTACTTGGACAGGTAGGTGACCACCTAAGCACACCAGATGCCGGCAACATAGGGATCTTCCTAGAAAAAAATTAAATTAAATTAAAATAAAATTAAATATAACTTTACAGTACTGTACTATTATTTTTCAAACATTTTGATGGAAATACAGAAAAGATCTTTTCCAAAAATTTCACATCCAATACAAGAAAATGTAGAGAATTTAATGTCTCATAAAATTTTATTTCTAGGAATAGTGTACAAGAATTGTAATTCCCATACCGTATTATAAAACTACGCTGCTTTCCACAGAATAAGAAGTACGTATATTAAAGGTTTGTTTCAAAAATTTCACGCATCAAAGTTATGACTCGTTGAGTACGCTGCCAAGTTCCTGACACATACCCTGTACCGTATTATCATACTTATATGTGTACTGTATGGCCCGAATTTAGAACGCTGGTTTGAAACTGCATCAAGGTTTAAACCAAGGATCGAGCGAAGTTTAAGACTGTTGGTATTCAGAACACTGGCTTGAGCCAACACAATGATTTAAACCGGGTTTAAAATGGGATTTGTCGATCCTCATGTTAATCCTGCCTGGAGGCAGGATTGGCAGTTGATCCGTCATTCAAGATAGGAAGTCAACATGAATTTTGACAGTGCAGACTTTTCGGTGATATCGTCAAATTGGAAATTTTGTCGAGAGAAGACTCATAGTGGATAGGCAGAATCCTATAAATTTTTATGATGGCAAGCAATTCAGACAACAATCAAGGTTCAGCAAAGGAGATTTCCTTGAATATTTTTCCGTGATATGGAGCATCTACTTGACAGACCTATTGCCTAAGGTTCACCTCTACCTCCCATTGATCAGCTTTGAGGTTCTTGGTGTTTAGGGTCCATGAAGATCAAGTGGGTAAATGTAAAGAACGTTGAGGCTTCTTTATTTTGAGTGTTTTTCTTTAGGAAAACTATTTTGATGTATTTTCAGTATAAATGACTCAATGCCGAGTGCATTTTTATTTTAATGTATTAATAAAGGAAAGTTTTTTCTTAACATAATTAATCAGGAGAAATGTGGGGTTAAAAGAACAAAGAAACCTAACCTAATCTAGCCTAGCCAGGTTACTACTCCCTGCATTGATTCATCTTGCTTTGGTTATGAATATTGACACCTGTCCCAGATTATATCTACATTTTGTATGTACCGGGTAATTGTTCTTCCTCTATGAATTTCTTTGTTATCATATAACAACACAGCCACTTTGTAACACAGTAACATTAATCATTATAATTTGATTGTAATTACCGGTATAGTAACAAAATTAACTTATGATGTGCAATAATAAATTTCTCCTCCATAAAAACTCGTCGAGTCATAGTTACCGCCATAATCTTGCGAACATTACTCTCGATGGTGATTGGCTGTCATAATGGTGTTAATGAAACGTGATTGGCTGGAATTTCAGTGTTCGAATCCTTGCTCGTAATTGAAGAAAATGCAATATTTTACCCGATACGGGGTTCAACCGATGTTCTGGAAATGGGGTAATACACTGCAGGAAATCTCAAATAGAGGAACCCCGATTCGCACGCCTGAGCCGAGCTCAAGTCCCAGGCTCAAACCACCGTTCTAAATTCGGGATTCCTCGATCTGAGATTTCCTGCAGTGTATTACCCATCGGTTGAACCTCGTATCAAGTTATATGTTGCATTTTTTTCAATTACGAGCAAGGATTCTTACACTGAAATTCCAGCCAATCACGTTTCATTTACACCATTACGACAGCCAATCACCATCGAGAGTAATGTTCGCAAGATTATGGCGGCATGTATGACTACGAGTTTTTACAGAGGAGAAATCTCTCCTTGCAAGATTAGTTACTGAAAACAGCATTATAGAAATCAAAAAGACAGATGCAGCATCCATTATAAACAAATAAAAAAGTGGAAGCAAATAACTGAGCAATATAAATCAAGTGCCAATGTTGAAAGAACACCACTGCAACTACAACCTTACTGGAAAAATATGAAGGTCAAAGAAAGGAAGTATATGGACTATGCCATGCACGTATTCTTACCTAACATAGTATTCCAATTGCAGAAGGCTTTTAGTGTAGAAGTTGTGTGGGATGAACACCTTCCTCATAGCATAAAGGCTGGTACACGACAGCAAAGAGGCAAAGGAGTGAAGACGTGTAGAAGTGACAGATTTCATTCCTAGAAATTGGCAAGAGCTCCTTAGCATGGACAAAAATAAATCCGAGCCATTTTCTTTTTTGCCAGTATGAGTGGTGTTGAGTACAGAGAAATGGGTTATCAGCACACATCATGCAGGCGTTCTCTTCACCCAGCATAGATAAACTTGAACGGGAACAGTATGAAGCATGTCCACGAAAGAATTGAGTAAAGCAGCGCATAACACAGATCGACCAGACTTTGCAAGGACTTTCAAAGATAATGCCAATGACATCTTAGTGCTGTATATCGCATCTCAGCTCCAGCATGTAGCAGGATTGGGCATCATCTGGGAATGTGTACCTGCCTGACAGCTTGAAAGGAGATACTCAAAGAAAGAGAGGAAAGGGAGTTAGGAGACGTGTTGAAGCATCAAGTGCAGTCCTTGGGAATTGGCAGGAGTTTCAACACCTTGAGGACTACAAGACAGCTATTCCCCTTGCTATCATGGACTGCTGTCGAAATTTAAAATGATACACAGGTCATCACTACACAATGCTGATGTGCTTTGCTCCAGCAGTGAGGTTGACATCTCAGGTCTTGCTACATGCACGCATGAAGAGGCAGACACGTATACTACTACACAGTAGATACAGATCTCGTGGTTCTGGCTGTGATAGCCGCCCAGCGTCTCAACATCGGTGAATTTTGGGTTGCCTTCAGGGTTCAGAAGAACTTCAGATAAGTTGCTGCAAATGAGAAATCGAGCACTGGGACCTGATTGGTGTGCTGCCTTGCTGATGTTTCATGCCTTTACTTAGTGCGAGAGGACCACATGGGAAGCTTGGAATGCCTACGGAGATGTCACTGCAGTATTCTGCACCTTAGCTACTAAGCCAAGCCCTGAGTCAATAGAAGAGCACATGGGACTATTGGAACACTTTGTTGTCCTCCTATATGATTGCACCAGTGATCAGAAGTGTGTGAACCAAGCCAGGAAGTAGCTGTTCACCCAGAAAGACAGGGCTCTGGATGGTTTGCCCTCCCAACACATGCTGCGCTTACCCAGCACACCAAACGAGCTGCCTACCCAGCTGGATACTGCTGGTCCCAGATGAAGGCTCCAAGACCAGAGGTTCCTTCATGTGAATGGGGCTGAATGAAGAAGACAGAGGGAAGCTGGGAAATATGTTGGACAACGCTGCCACAAACCACACAAGCCTGCAGGGAGCTTTTGCGGTGTGGATGTAAGAAAGGATGCAGAGGTCATTGCAAGTGCATGATGGCAGCCCTCCCATACACAGCTCTTTGCCAGTGTGGTGGATCCTGTGCTGACTGAGTTAGTGACTGAAATGAAGTATGAAAATGTATTAAAACATTTATATCAGCTGTACAATAAAATGAGTTTTTTGCCCATCAAATGGAGTTAGCCTATGGGCACCATTGCTCTCATGGGTCAAATCTATGTCCCTATGGCTAAAATCATCAAAGGCACAATTCGTCCACATATCTGCTGTGAGATTAAGTGAAGTATAGTAAACAAAAATCACACATTTTATAATGTTTATATATGTACTGTATTTACCTAATAGCCACCATGTCATGCTGAGGGTTGGAGGCAAGTGGCAGATTTCGTCATCTTAGTACTATGTGGTGCTAAGCACCTGAATACAACTGGCGAGGAGTACTTTCCTGTCTAGGCTCCTGATGGACTGTGATGTGTTCTAGATAGTTAGCACACACCTCCGCAGGTTGCCTACAGTGACTTCTTCCCCACCAGTTTAGTCCAGGCCAGACCTCACTTATTCTCCGGTGGTGAATGCTTGTTACTCAAGAAAAGACAGTTCTGGGTCGCACCGACCTTCGCCAATCAACTTTTGCTGACCTAGAAGCAAGGGTGCATTACAAGCCTGCCTGGCCTTGCAGCCCCCTACCATTCAGGTAATCGTCCCAAGCCAGGGAACCGACTCTTCTGTGTCACTCCTCCAATCTCGGGTTTCCCTGTGGGGTCCAGCACAAGACAAGGGGGCAATCTAGAGACTATATCGGGGCATGTCACAGCCTTGGCCAACCCACTATTCCACGGCTGTTGCACCGCACTGGATCATCAGGCCCTCCAGCTGGTCAAGAGAGGACAGCTTCACCAACACCCTCCTCCCAGACGAGAAGAGCCTTCATGGTCACTCCAACGTACTCTGGACCTCCTCCACTCATCCCATTATACTGACTCCTCTCCCATGGACCTCCTTCACAAGGCAGTATTCCTGATCGCTCTGCCAACGTGCCTTTGAACATCTCGGCTCAGAGAGCCCTTTCTTGCTTTGCAGGCTAGACAGTGTTCGCACTAGATGGTTCTCCAGTCTCACTTGCCCCATCACCACAGACTTTGGCAAATAACGATCACTGTTTAGGTCCAGTATCCATACCTGCGTGGTCAGTCACCATGCACACGACCTGAGAGAAAGAGCAACAACCCCTCGCCTTCCTCCGATCAAAATTGCTCAGCCTGGACAAAGAAGGGGGGGCATTGGAAATCCACACACTCTTCCTGTATGAGGTACAGTCTCGTTCAAGAGTCTTCGAACACTTCTGGCAACTCAAGGCCGTTTGTTTACTATAGTACGTAGTAAAGATTATGAAAGAATGTAATATATTATCAGTGATTGGTTATTTAGTTCCCCATTGCTTAATTAATGGCTTTGTTGTTTTGTATTATATTATACTACGTACTGTAGTACACAAACGGCCTCAAGTTGCCAGCAGTGTTCGAGGAATCTTGAACGAGACTGTACCTGAACCACAAGTAAAAGACAGGCCATGCATGGCACTAGGGGTTCTTTCTTCACTGACAGAACCTCAGTGACCCAGACCTCCATCAAACCTATCTTCAATTTGTGACAGTCCCAAATAGGGTAAAAAGCCTTACAGTTATGTCAAGCTCGGTAAGCATGAAAATAAGTAACGTATTAAAGAACATATGGACTGTTCCAGGTTTCTTTCTTATTCCAATAAGTCTGAGGTATATGTTGATTTCACTGTATGTTCAATCACATCACCCTTCCATATTGGACCTGACTTCAGCAGTTGTGGCCTCCTGTTGGGAAGTAGCATTTGTACACTAGGGAGGCACAGTTCACTAAAATAAGGGCTTTGAATGATTTAAAAACCCATTTTCGGTGTATGTGCTGAGCTAATGTACGACATTTCACGCCCAACTGTTCCCCTCTCATGCTCCTGCATCAGTCACCCAACGTGTAATTTTTGAGGGATAAAGGGTAGCCAATTTCAGAAGTGATGTCCACACACCACAGAAAACATTAGTGAAAATAAAGGTGACTACTGCAATGACTTCAAGGTTTATGGAAAGTTTGCTTGTGTAGCCTAAGTTTTTGTAACTTATATGATATGGGATTTCGTCATCCAACAAAAATATGCTTTTCTATCCTTCACAGCCCTTATTTTCTTGTATTTGTAAGCCACACTACACTATTATAATGATGCACATAGGAGCACAGAATCCCCCAAAAATTTTATGTCAAACAGACATATCACTTTTGACAGCATACCCCATGAAAGGCTGAAAATTAAACTGGTTGTATATGAAATTTGGGGGTGTGTCCAAGCATGGAGCAGACTTTCATTGTAACTGCAAGCCGTGCTTGGCTATTGATGGTACAAAATCGTCATGCATACCTGTGAAAAGTTGGGTAACACAGCAGGGGCAGATCCAGGAATATCAAAAGGAAGGGGGGTTCCAAGAAGTTGTGGGTGAGGGAATATAGCGCCAATGCAGCGAGCTCACCCAGCTGGGAGTTTTTTGGGTCTGTGGCCAACTTAACTGAGGTAAAGTGGGACTTGCTGGTCGATGGAATGCCAGATAAGAGAAAGTCAACCTGTACCTAACAGAGCAACACCAAAGCATACAATACTTACCTGTGTAAATCATATTAAAGTACAGTATTGTATCAATATTTAAAATGGTTTATTCTACCTAAAGCTAGCCTTTAATGCTATGAATCCAATCTTCAAACACTGCAAAGTATCAAGCCTCCCTTATTATTCTAGAAATAATTAAAGGCGGGAAAGGTACAAAGGTCATTATATTACCCGGAAAAAGCCAGCATTATTCAGTGGGCTTCCTCTCACATTTCAACAAACAATGCTGTAATTTTAATCTCAGCAAGAGAAAGATATACAAGGCATCATGATTTACACAAACTAGCTTTAAGATTCACTAGATGCATACAGTATATCAAAATACAATAAAAACTTCCCTTTAACGATATGTTTGACTGAAGTGGGTGTTTAGCCCACAATGTTTGATTGACAAAAAGCATATGGCAATAACAAGGAACAGTCAAGCTTAGCTAATGTTGGCTTCTGTTTAAAGTTTAACAATGACATTTCCCACAAAAAAAAAGCAATACCAGCTAGGCAATGAAAACTTCAATGTCTGCCATTGTACAAGAATTTCTGGAGGCAGACAAGGGGGCAAATACTTCCCTCCCAGGACAGCAATGAAGTGCATGACTCTTAATGACAGCTGTGGTACAAAGATTCCTGGGCCATATATGGGGAAAGGACTCCTAAAACAACCATGAAAGTAAGACTCCACAATGCCAATCCTGATGCAAAGACTCACGAGTGAGAAAATGGAGAAAAAACTAAATATTCAACTACAGAATAAAGATTTCTCAGAAAATATAGCAATTTTTAAATTCTAAAATGACATTTGCTTAAGATGAAAAACAATATAGGATTCATCCATATCCCCTTGGTATGAAGAACAGTATTTTTTAAAGAAAATTTTAATAATGGATCATTCCTTTAAAATTTTGGGTTTGTCCTATTAACATATCCACATAAGTTACTGAACATTACAGAACAAATGTTCAAAGGTTTGCATCATATAAAGGAGTCCTTACATATTTCAACATGTACATGTACAGTAAACAATTATCATGTGACAAGAGGCCATGTCATAAACCTGAACAAAAAGTAATGGTGACACTTATAGGGCAACCCATTTTAATGATATGACCCCCAAAGAGCGAATGATCAAGTGATGTCAATGAGTGGTGAGGAGGCAGCCGGCTGGTGTGGATAGCGAATGGGGAGACGGAGGGATGAGCTGGCCAACCCTGGCTCGGGGCCACCTGTACCTGGAAAGAAGAAATTTAGTGACTACTGTGTGTGTGTTTGTGTGTGTGGTGTAGTGTGTATTTCCAACAAATGTTTGACTGATCTGGTTTTGTTTAAATAACTTTTGCCAATATGGAAATTTAAACTGTAGTACATGTACTGTAGTTATTAGATGCAAATCCCTGACACCCTTGTATAATCATTGGAATCAATGTTACTAATGGCCAATTCATGTTGGACCATTTTTTAACAAAGAACAAACTGTAAACCCTTTATTGTTTGCCTGGTACAGTACAGTAAAATGAATGTTTGGGAAAAAATCAAAACCTAAAGATTGTACGCATTTTATGTAAGAGAAAGGAATACTAAACATATATAAATTATGAATCAAGTACAGTAGTACCCTTCTAAAATACTGTAAAGGTGTAGCTGCAGTGATGTGATGTGTAAAGTCTATTTGTGGCATGGGCTATGTACAAACCATCTATGCGTGGAGTTGAGGAACTACTTGAGGACTCGACAGAGCAGATGGTGGCGCACCCCTCTGAAGGGAAGACTCCCCCCCAGGGATAATCCAGGCAAGAGTTCTTGATTGGCCAGGGGCAGGCCTGTGAAGCACCATACACATGCCATGCACAAACTTAAATAAACAGCATTTAAAGAAAAGCTACAAATTGCAATTGTACAACAAATACTGTATGAGCCCTCCAATGTATTTGTGAAGACTGCTCATTAAGCCTTACCCTTTATAGGATTTTAGGCCGAAAACACCCTTTCTCAGAATTGAAATTTAATGTGTCTAACTACTGAAGTATATCTAGAATAACACAAACACCAAAAATTGACCATGAAAAATCAGGGATGGCAAAACCCATTGTTTGAAAATTGGATTTTAATGATATTATGTCGATTTTAATAAGTTTTAAATATTTGTAGCCTTTTTTATAACTTTTTAATATGCAATTAATCATAAACATTACAACAGGATGATTTAGCAATCATTTATACTCATTTCCATCCCCAAAAATCACTGTAAAGGCCAAATATAAAAAACACAAGCTTTGATCAGTCATCCAGACTCATCCTGCATGCTTAAAGACAAAAACTAAGTTTAAGTTCACTTTAATGCATCAAAAAGACTATTCTACTTTCACAGTTGAAAGTTTTAAAGAATTCATTTAAGTACAGTTGAAAAATGAGGGAGATGGGCAGTGGCAACTTGACTTCCCTGGACCAGTATAATACTGTACAAGATCTGAACACATAAGAATCAGAGACTCAGAGCCCAACCATTAACAGAAGCAGTCACCAGTTTTACTGGACAGTGGCAACTTAGCTTCCTTGTACAGTAACCAGGATCTGAGATGTGTGTGGCCCTGTAAGAAGGCTTATTAATTATCACCACTTTTATCAGTGTAAATAGTTCACATTCTATTTTGAACTCAAACCACAGGGACACAACGCACCCCTGTCTAACAACGACATTTACACTGTATTTCAAATGTTTCACTTTCTTTCCCATTTACTCTTACTGTTGCCCTGCTGTCGTCATCATAAAAGGCTTTTACTGCATTTAATAGCCTTACTCCCACCCCATACACTCCTAAAGCTTTCCACAATGCTTTTCTTTTCACCCTATCATGTGCCTTTTCCAAATCTACTATAACTCATTAAAACTCTCGGTAATAAAACAACAACAAAATTATTAAACTCTTGAAAAAAGCCACAGGACAAAAAAGTCTTGTTTGGTTTAAACCTTGGTTTGTCAGCCATACTATATTCACCCTCAAAGAGCAAGACAATATCATCCTCTTTACAACACACTACAGTAGGCTAGCTTTAAACTCTTAACTCGGAAAGTAAATTACTGTCCATTATAATTCTGCAAATAATCTTCATAAAGGCAAAAACCTAAAGCAAGATAACCTTAAAAATTATCACTAAAAAGGCAAGAGCAAAAACTGGATGAGATGCACAATACAGCAGCAGCCAACATGCAACAAGGAAGCCAAAAACCTTACCGAGTTACAGTCAACCCACAGTTTACTCGGTTAATTACCAGTGGTTTGGTACAGTAAAGCTGCAGTAAGATGAATTAGATGAGAAGAGCCTTAGCAAGGTTAAGTTTGGGTAGGTAAAGTTATGAGAGCCTTGATAGGGTTAAATTTGGTTAGGTTAAGTTATGATAGCCTTGGTAGGGTTAAATTTAGGCAGGTTTAGCTGGGTCATAGTCTTTATAAGGAAACAATTGGGTAGGGTTAAATAGTCAAGTCAGAACTGGATTGATTTAGTCATGAATAAATGTGGATAACTGTGTGCATAAAAATTAGAATACATTAGATTGGACTGGGATAAATTGTTGAATCCAAAATTGCTCTGTGGGTCTGGTTTTGTCTGATTTGAGTAGGTTTACAGATTGGTTTCTGTTCATTAGGATTAGCCTGGTTCTGGTTTAGTTTATTCGGATTTGGTTGGGTTGGAACGTGTCGAGTTTGATTTAATGTGGTTTGGTTTAGCTCGTCATGGTAGGTTTAGCTTGCTGTGGATATGTTTATTTTGTTGTAGTTTGAATTATTTTGATGTGGTTATGCTTAGTTGTGGTTAAGTTTAGTTTGTCGCCCTTAAGTCTATTTTGCTGTGGTTAGGGTTAGCTTCTTATGATTAGGTTTAATTTGTTGCTGTTAAGTTTAGTTTTGTGATTAGGTTTAGCATCTTGTTGTTAGGTTTATTCAGTTGTGGTTGGGTGTGTTTAATTTGTGATGAAACACCAAAACCCCAACTTACATGGAAGGTATGGTGGCTAAATTGGAACACGTCGCCCCATTCCCTATAACCATCATATAACACAGTCTTTCAAATTTAACTGCTACTTAATACATGATGACAGAAGGCCAAGGTTCAAGTACTACAGTGGTGATTACAACAATTTTGCAAGAAGTCTGCAAAGAGTTTTGAGCTTGGAGGTAAAATTTTACATGATGTCATTAACAAAGCCCTTCAAATTTAATAACTTAACCATTAACTTTAAATAATAAATATATTACTTATGAGCATGTATACTGCATGCATACAGTATATTTTTCCAATATATTAAAAAAGCTTACCAAAAGAAAAAAATTAAATAACCCTGCCCACTTGATAGGGGGAGTTGTATCATGGAGGAACTATGTCAAAGAGGTGTGACAAAAGTTCTGTATGCACAAATATGCCTCCAGGGAAATATATCACAAGGAGAAATATCCCATGACAGTGGCTTCTCTCATACAGTAGCTCCTCACCACAGAGAAGCATGTTGGGATGAAAACATGGGAAAACTAAAAGTTGGAAATTCTATTCATTCACCCATTTCATTCAAGTCATGAAGTTAGAAACAAGTTTTTATGTATAGAAAATTTATCTTAAACATTTTCTTCCCAAGAGTGTGATATCTAAAGTATTACCATGACAAGGTTAGGTAAGGTTATGCTGACGAAAAACAATACGAAGCAGTACTGTACCGTATAGTCGATGGAGGCAGCAAGGATGCTCCAGGTGATAGGTCTGAGGTAACACTTACAACACTGATCACTACTCAACACCTGCCCTAGCCAGAGTGGGCGTCATCTTACTTCTTTTAGTTTTGGAGGATATAGGCTTGAGCACGGGTGGCGTAGGTGTGGGCGTGGCACTGCATGTGGGCGGGTTGGCAGGGTTCAGCAGCAGGTCGCTGGAGGAGTGTTGTTTCCGCCCTGGGGGTAACACAGGCGCCAAAGACACTCCCATGGCTCCTGATGTACTTGTTCCTGGTACAGCTGCAGCTCCTCCCCCCACTCCTTGTCCGCTACTGCCACCCACAGACTGCACGACAGTGGCCTCCTCGGAGAGAGTGCGAGCGTGAGGCGACCGCCGAGCCAAGTTACGGGCGTGGGCGGGGGAACCAGGCATGCTGGTGCTGGTGCTGGTGTTGCTGCTTCCCTCACCTGACACATGTAGTAGGGTTACTAGTAAATTACTTAAGATTTAAATAGCTGACCATTTTATAAAAAATTCATACTACTGTATAGCAAATACCTTATTACGAAACCAAAAATACAACAGCAAACAAAAATATAAAAGGCTGCTATAAGTGCCATTAATACATGTTACAGGTGGATGACTAACCTAATGTAAACAAAAATCTCATTCACTAAGAGGCCTTTGTTACATCTGTGACAACTTTAAAGTCTAACATTCATCCAAACTACATAGGTAAAAAATCACACACACACATTGTATGTGAAGTAATTTATATGGTTGTGTACATGTTAGAATGTGCACATATGTATTTCTGGTTGTATGTGTGTGTGTGTGTGTTTCAAATACACTACACTATTTCAGTTGATGTGAGGAGGGTACTGTACTGCATAGTTGGTGCCTAACCCATCTTAACATAATTCATATAGTTACATGTTACCTACCTGGACGGCCTCTAGTAACAACAAGCTGTCGCTGTGTGTGGAGAATCTGTCGCAGATGGTGGTCAAGGACGTCTTCGTGTTGTCGTGTGACCAGCGGCTTCAACGACCCGCTTTTAACAGTAGTGGCTCCCTCTGGCTGCTGCACAGGACGATTCAAAATGATAAAAGAGCAAGTAGAAGACACACTAAGATAAATCTACCAGTTCATTTTTAGTCACCTGGGCAAGCAGGTGAAAGATTTATGTACATCATCTTACTACAGGTGACAGGTCATCCATCACCTCCTCAATCTCTACAAGAATCAGGATCTTGGAAGGACAGCAATACACATGATATTCTTTTATACCACACCCACTGACAGAAGTTTCTAATTTGTCCGTGATTTGTAAAATTTTAAGTCAAATCTGTCTGAATTTTTCCAATAGTTTATAGTAATAACAATGCGTATGTACACAAGAACCATCAGTCGACTGCTATGTCTGGCACCGCACCGCATCTAGATGCGACGAGAAACCACATAGTGTGAAAGGGGTCTAACCCACCAGGTCCACAGTTGTGGGATCTTGAACTGTAAGTGAACAGCTAAGGAGGGGTAGCTTTTAGGGTATTATTGCAATTTCACTCCCAATTGGGTTTTAGCCTGTCGTGGTTCAATAGACTACTGCCTGACTACCAGTCATGGTAGCCCAGGCTCAAATCCCATCACGCAAAGATGAAAATTATTTACGGTATCAAAATTTTGAACAAAAGTATTTTTAAATTCATTATGGCCAGAAATTTAGCAAAAATGCCCTTTCTCTCGGTATTGGAACTGAATGTTTCTCTAATTCAGTACATCCAGAATAAAAGTAAATCACCCAAAATCATCACTGAAAAACTACAGGAAGCAAGTAACTAGTGTTGAAAAATTAATCTAAATTTTCCAAGTCATTAGAATCGGTACAGTGATCACAACACTGCCTCCTTATAGACCAAAGAAAGAGTTAAGTCTCCAATGGGATGTACAGTATCTGCACTGGTACTCTACTTACTTTAAACCTACTGCAGTACAGTACTTCTTAATAAATGACTTTGCCTTAAGCAGATGGGTAATTTGCCCCAACTTTCTAATTACCAGTAAGCATTTGCAAATTCATCTTCAGAATCAAAATACAAATAATGGATTTGTTAACATGTTACGTAAGAAACACTTTCATTTTAAAGAACACAAAAGCAAAATGTTTTCTATCAATATCTTAAGTGTTAGGTAGTATTTGTTATAAATGTTATGGAAATTTCAGATGCTAAAATGAACATGTCGCCTGGGGTTTATTTTTCTGGAGACTGTACCATACTTGTATTACCTAGACTGCTGTTAATTCATTCATTCATTCACTCCTCCTTTCCCTCCTCGCCCCAGTGGGGCCTCGATACTCCTCTTTGTCTCGCATCCTTACTTTTCTATCAGCTCCTCTCTCATTTCTCCTACCCCCTCCCTTTCCCTGTCACCCTCTCTCTTCCACCCACCTTCTCTCCCCTTCCTTCTACCCACCCTCTCAATCTTCACCACTCCACTCACCTGGGTGGAGGCTCCATCCAGGGCCTTGGTGACAGGAAAGACAAAGACGTTCTTGGGCAGGGTCTTGGGTACCGAGGTGGGTGGTGGAGAGCGGATGAGGTGTTCGTGGACTTCTGACAGTGACAGCACTCCCTCCTGGCTCACCTTAGGGGGAGAAAGTGGAAGTTATTGTTGGTCTCTTAGGACAGTACTGTACGTGTATCTTTATGCTGTACTCTACTTAAATATGCATACTGGATATGCAGGATGTGGCGGCTCAGTAGATACAGCACTCGCCTCATGTTCTAAAGATGACTGGTTCAATCCCTGGGCACTCCAGTCTATCCAGCAGTAATTTGGTATCTTAACTTTAGAGATTAGCTTTAGTTGAGGTATGGCGCTGTAAAATTAAGGTAGGTTCATTCAATACATAATTCAGCTATCTTACATAAGTTTAGGTTATTTAGTGGTGTTTCGTTGTATTGCCAATCCTGGGCGTTACCTGTGTCACTAGCTGGGCACGGTCCTCAGGCTGGCTCCCACTGACACACTGCGTCGTCTCCTCCTCGTTGAGCGTCGTGTGAGAGTCAAATACACGCTGGAAACAAATATGTCATCTTGAATTATATATAATCCTATTATTTAAGGCACGACTTCTTTGTTATTTGATAAATAGAGTCGGGAGATGTTAGACGGGTCAATGAAAAATATATTCACCAAGGCATCCCCTTACATTCTATTGGATAATACCAAATATCATACAGTTTAAATATATAAAATGCCCACACCTTCTGTGACACTGCCTGAGCACAGAACAAACAAAAAACACACACCAGTCCATGAACTGGGCAATATCGTGTAGGATATCATTAAGTTTCCTACAAGGACATAATGTGGTGTGAGAAGCATGGCAATTAGAGATTATCATCCTTAACTGACCTTACAAAGTCAGGTAAAGGACAGGCCGTGACCTGACTTTACCTACAGTTGTGCTTGGCTAGGATTATATAAATACCAGAAAGTAGATAATCACATGTCAGAAATTATAGAAAAAAAAGCGGAGAATTTATTATAATCCCAAATAAGAAATAAATACAGCAATACCCTGTAGTTTCCGAATATAAAATCTTGCACTTTTTTCACAACTAGCATTTTCCCGTTTACCAACGACCATAACATGATTCTTCTGCTCACTAATTCCCTTTTATAAGTGACCTCATCGGTTAAATAAGATAAGCTTTTGTAAATTTAGAACTTATTTTACGTAAGGAAAGATGAGGTCAAGTTGTCAATGGTTTGAGTTGTTTTTTAAGTGTTTTAACCAGACAGTTTTCCTCGTGTAAACCATTGTCGTATCTCCATCAATATACATCAGCGACAAAAATAAAAGTCACATTCTTTTAAATCTCCATAAAAAAACACACAAGAAAAGCCCATTTTTCTTACTAATTTCCCATTATGTCCCCAACGGAATCTTTATCCACACCATAACTTTTTTTTTATTTAACGCATATATACACCTGAAACATAACCTGACTTAACCCTTAAACATAACCTGACCACCCAGACACACAACCTTGACTTCACCCAGACTTCATCCTGACACAACCGAGGCTTCACTTTGACACACACACACACACACACATACAAGGCCACCATGACAAAGTACCACTAACAGACGTCACAGTAAACCCAGAACACAGACCTTCCTTATCTTACACCTGTTGACTGCCTGCTGGCGAATGGGGCGTGGTGGTGGCCTGCGCATGGTGAATACTGACCACTGGTGTTCACTCATTGCTCAACAGTACATAAACACGTCACTGTACTCTCACCAGGTAAGTCTAAGTTTAACATGGTGAACATTGGCACACTTACAACACTGTTCTGTCACCACTATATCCAATGGTAAGTCTAGCATGGTGAGGACAGACTGTATAGAAGCTTGAGCCAACTTGCTGGGTGAACTCAAGTCGCATTACGAGGTACTTCACCCAATCACCGTTCAATAACCCACTAATAGGGAACACGCAACCCCGTCTTGGTGAATCTTTTCCACCAAGACTTTCTAGAGTGGGCGTCTCAGCCGCCAATCAGAGTGCGTGTGCCAGTCACCAACCGGAGTACGTGTGCCAGTCACCAACCGGAGTACGTGTGCCAGTCACCAACCGGAGTACGTGTGCCAGTCACCAACCGGAGTACGTGTGCCACTCACCAACCGGAGTACGTGTGCCAGTCACCAACCGGAGTACGTGTGCCAGTCACCAACCGGAGTACGTGTGCCACTCACCAACCGGAGTACGTGTGCCAGTCACCAACCGGAGTACGTGTGCCAGTCACCAACCGGAGTACGTGTGCCACTCACCAACCGGAGTACGTGTGCCACTCACCAACCACAGTAGGTATGCCAGTCACCAACCAGTCAAGGGGAAGTGGGAGGGGGGGCAGTGTGAACCATATCCCCACTACAGTATAAATATTTCATTCATCTCCACTGTTCGATAACTCGCACTGCTGACAGTCTAAGTCGGATCTCACCATTTTTCACACACACTCCAGTGACTGGTAACCTATGGTTATGGAGAAAGTCTACCACAACCAAGTAATCATGTCGTTCACCTATCCAGCGTCAGCTATTAGAATTAAGGCGTCACTTTCCTCGGCACACCCCCCGATAAATGATCCTGGCACACGGAGGCTCAAACAATTACTGGTGTTGTACTGGGAGTATTAAACGACACACACCTCCACCGCGGGACGTCACGACTCTTACTGGCAGTCTGGCACACTGGGGCTAGTGGTTGTCAAGTGTAACTGACTCACAAACACACTTAAAGGTGGTCAGGCCTGGTAGTACTGTGTTTACATCACGACCGCCGGATTCTTGCAAGGCCTGGTTAACTATACGGCTAAATAAGCATAGTGTAAATTAATATAACTTGGTTCACCTGAAGATTGGCCCCTCCTGCTTATTTCACTTGTCACTGAACACTCGTACGCTGCCTGGGGGGGGGGGGGTAGCGCTAGGGTAATCTTAGGTGAAACAGTTAAATAATTTACGGGTAATCTTTCAAGTCATAAACTAATTTAGTCCATTTCAATCCGACTTAAGACTAACCAAGCCTAATTTACTTTAAAAATAGTATAGCCAAACATAACCTACCCCATTGTGGAACTTCTCTAGCCTACCCAAATCTACCATAAAACTAACCTAGCATAGCCTAATTATCGAATTGGTTAAATGTAACACAAGATTGGTGGTGATTGGCCAACCAACACGAGAGAATGAAGCTGATTGGCAGCCTGTATAGCAGGGGGTGGTGGTGATTGACGCTCATTGGTAGGCTGGAAATTCTGCTAACACAGGAGGGATTGGCTAGCTCAGGCGCAGGAAATAAGCTTACTGGGTAGCTGGAGTGATGAAATAATGCTGACTGATTGAAATGTAACAAAGAAACAATACAAACCAACTGGCTGTAACGCTCTACGAAACTGGCGCTGAGTGGCTGCCTGAAACGCGGGAGTATTAACGATTGGCTAGCTGGAGCGCGGGAATGCTGATGATTGGCCAGCTGTCAACATTAAGACTGTGCGCGCGAAATTCAATAACCTAAACACTGGCCAAAATGTGGTAAACGACTTTTCAAATTATATAACGATATATTAATTATAAAATGACACCTGCAACTTACCTGTAAATATGGGTTATCTTGCCGTGACAGTCTGATGGCCTCCATATCAATGCCAATGTCACGGTTCTTGACAGGTGTGTGGTGGACAAGTCCTGACACCGAGGCTCCGCCCTCCACCGATGACGATGTAGCCATTTCAGATGACGTCATGATCCCCGGTGACGCCAGAGCCTCCGAAGATGACGTCATTTCCTGTTCACTGATATCATGGCGCGCCAGCACGACCGTCTCTTCCGTCCAGTTACTTCCCGTTTCTTCCGCCTCTGTAAATAATAAGTTAATGTTGACAATTAGTCTACAGTGCGTGAATGAAAAAGTGTATAAACTCTTCGTAAACAAATTCCCTTTTGTAAGCCAGTTTTGAGGCATAATGTCCCACAAGTTTGTTCTTATTTATGATTAGGACGTACAGTATATGCTGTTATTCTGAAGAAAATTCACTGTTTAAACTGAAGTCTGTTGATGACAAATTATTTCTATTGTTGCAAGGTACAGTATTGTATATATAAACTGATGTCATTAATTTGGTTTGTAAAATATCTAACAATAAACTAATATCATTATCTAAGAAGTTTCCTTTATTGTTTTTTTGACCTCATGTCCATCACTGTCGCTTCCGGAGAAAATTATTTGTTTTTATCACTATATATCCTAATCATCTTAAGAGTTGTCACTTATTTAGGCAGGTTAGGTTAAGTTATATATTAGGTTCGGTTTCGTTTTAAGCAAATCCTTAGGTGAAATAAACCGAAGGGTGAATCTTCCGGTGAACCAACTTAATCATTTGTCATCTACCATCATCCACGGCTTCTGAGGACAATATTTAAAAAGAAAAAAAAAGAGTAACAATTACTCCCGTCAGCTGGTGTAGTGGAGCGGGTGAGCCAGGTGGAACTGGGGAATAACGATCCGTAAATGTCATGCTCTGAGGCCACTGGAGGTCAAACCTGTGTGGGAGGGGGGAGTGAAGGTGACCTCAAGGACATGGGAGAAGCAGGGAGGTGTAGGTGTCCCTCACCACCACCACCCACCATCCTTCACCACCACCCACCATCCTTCACCACCACCATCCTTCACCACCACCCACCATCCTGTCACACAACACTCGAGTCATTGATTTCCCCTCTTAGTGAATATTTGAAGGAGTACCTCTCTCTCTCTACTATTGATCACTCTTCGTTCCTCTCCCTTCACGTGTCGATAGTTTGGTCTCTCTCTCTCTCTCTCTCTCTCTCTCTCTCTCTCATATGCACACACGTTTGTATGGTTACTTTACAACACTTATACAAGCTCGCATGCACACACATATACATAATACATAGTGTATCACGTCAGGTTCCCATACGCAGAGTAACACATTTACTCTCACGCGTACACACACACACACAAACATCATAAGCATATCCTCCATCCCCGAAACACACACACACAAGTAATGTAAATCCAACCAGGAATTCCTACTCAAGAGAGGGTCAGAGGTCAACTTCCTGCCAGACCTGAGCTGCTGCATATATTCAACACCACAAATAGACGCAACTGTACTCGTCATCACACACCTCGACTAACCCGAGAATTATACTTTTAAATTACCAACTTTACCTTGAACTGTCACTAGAGGTGTTTACTGAAACTCTTTAGTCAGTTTCTGGGGCAGTAATATCTTCCCCTGATTGAGATATGTACCTTAGGTTAGGTTAAGTCAGGTTAGGTCATAAAGACGTAGTAGAAGACACCTTGGAGAACCTTACTCTTATCTTAGTTCAGTCATAAGGTTTTTACCCAAGTAGATGATTGTTAATCCTCGAGAAAAAGAAGAAATTAAACAAAATAAGATAATAGGAAGAAAAGAAAAAACAAATAAATGAGCGTACAAGACAAAAGACGAATAAACACTAACACACTGACGAGGAAAAAACACTAGAAAATGAATGACATGAAAAATATAAATGAAAAAAAAAAAACTCAGAATAATATAGTGATAAGAAATTTATGAAAATGCAAAATAAAAATATAAAGAATAATGAAAAGTGAAATAAAAAAAATGCGAGTGTGGTCGAAGCCTTACACACATTAGACTGCGGATGTTTTAGCGGGAATGCCTCTCCTCCACCCTCTCCACTAGGACACGGAGTAATCCATGAATATGATGTATTTCTTTGTGTATGAACCTCTGTCCTGCGTGGCAGTGAGAAGTGATACCACCCTCAGTGTCAAGACCTGACTGAATTACTCAGAATAGGCAAACTGTACTACAAGCTTTGCCAATAAATTTGTTAAACTAAAAAAACATGCCTACTCTAACGGTTAGGTTCAAGTTATCATTTACATTTATCCCCATGTGTTCATAGAAAAGGGGATCCAGACTTTAGCTCCAATTATTAGTGCGTGTTTTAGCGTCACTCTGGTAACCACCACCCACGCACTGTTGACATCGCTCAGCTGAAGCGAGTTCCAGCCATCGTGGTTGCTCAAAATATCGATCAGCTGTGGAAGGTTCAAGTGACGTAGTGGGTCGGCATTATGAACATTAGAATGGAGGAAACTGCAGCGGGCCTATTGGCCCATACTGGGCAGTCCCGTTTACACCCAACCCCTATTGCTCATATAAGCATCCAACCTATGTTTGAAGCTATTCAGCGTATTCAAGTTAATGATGATATTTGGTAACTTGTTCCATTCATCCACTACTCTGTTTCCAAACCAGTGTTTACCTATTTCACGCCTAAATCTAAATTTGTGTAATTTAAAACCATTGTTACGAGTTCGCTCCTTTGTGATGTAGTCTTTGAAATTGGTTGTATATTAAGACTAGATATATATATATATATATATATATATATATATATATATATATATATATATATATATATATATATATATATAATTTCATTAGCCCAATAAAGCACTCGGACTTCTACAAATAATTAACACCTCACCCCACCAGGATTCGAACCCACGGTTACAATTATAAGATCGTGGGTTATCAGCATATATGTATGTATTATGTATGTATGTATTTTTTTTTTAATTCCAAGGATTAAAATGTTAACACTACGTTCATTATGTGTGTATACAAGTGTAATATGGAGTGCGGTAGTCAAGTGGATAATGCGCTCGCCTCCTGTACATATTGTCGGTGGTTCGATCATAAAGCATTCCCATAACATCTTTAAATGGCTCCCTAACCCTACAAAAGTGAAAGTAGTCAAGTCTTTTTGCCGGCCATGCTGCCTCCTTGTGTACCGAAAGCTTAGAATACAATGTGCTGTGCCATGTCCACTTCCATATACAGCAAGTGCAATAAAGTGGCAGTATGGAAGAAATTTTACTTTCCTACTACTACTAGGTAAAACAGTAATAGTAACAAAAGTACTAGTTGTGGTAGAAACTAAATCCAGGGCATTACTAGCAACAGACTGTAGTAGTATTAATAACAGTAGAAGCAATGTTATTAGAGAAGGAGTTACGGGCACTGACCATGAAGGTTGATATCTGGGGGTCTGGCATCGTCCTCTCCCTCGTGGTCTCGTCGTCTCTTGAAGATGTTAGTAATAAACTCGAAGGGTCGGCGGGGCGCAGGGTCGTCCTCGCTGCCAGACAACATCGGGGCCTGTAACTGTGGGAGTTATTATTGTGATGGTATGATGATGACAGCAGCAGTAGTAGTGACGAGAATGATTATTAGTGATGAAGGTGATGATAGAAGTAGTAACAATAGTAGAAGCGATGGTAGAAGTGGTGACAATAGTCGGGTGAGAGTAACAGGGCTAATGGTGGAATTGATAACGAAGGCAACAAAACTACCCTCATCCCTTATGCGTACTAAGCCATTCAACGACCACCACCACCACCACAACACTCCCTCCCGCCTGCCCTCCCCTCACATCAAACAGTTCTCAATCAATACCTTAATTGCGTTCATATGAATTATCCCTTCCAACTTCCCTCCTCTCCTCCCTCCCTCTAATACTCCCCCTCCCCACTAACTCATTAAAAATCCGCGTTCGAATTCTTAAACATTCTTTATTTTGAAATTTTTCGCTGAACTAGAGATAATATAGCACATCTAATTAAGGATAAGTCTTTGTGTAATATTAAAAGTCCGCATGGATAAGAATCCTCATGCTCGTGCAGTGAATCGAGGGTTTAGTACTGAAATATGCTAATTGTATGCAAAGAACATCGTGAAGAGGAGTTAATATTGTCAGTTATGTTAAGTAAAGGTTTGGGGTGACATGTGTTGCCGGTAGCAGTATATTCTGGTTTTCGTAAAGAATTCGAAGTACAATAAGTGTAATTCAAAGATTCGGACAAGTGGAACGGAAATACCCGGGAAACAACTCTCTTTTGTTTACATGGGCGCATTCGGAGTGATCCAATTTTCCGCCAATATTACACGTAAGCAATAAGAGGCTTTATATGTCTTTAGCCAGCTTATCATACAGTTATCCTGAGCTCTGGATAACATCGTAGAGTAATCTAAAGACGAGGAAGCCAAGAGCACGACAAAGAACCTCTCCACAACAGCAAAATCGATCACTTGTTCAATGCTCGGAGTTGGAGGGTGTCCGGACTCCAGAGACTCGCACTATTCTAAATTAGTTTTAATCTTCTTTCCTTGCCTTTCCTCTACTAACTAATTTATATTATAAATTTCTCTTGGAATATATACTCAGTTCAAAATGGGTAACCCCCCATATACGCAAATATGTTAACATTGTCAAACACCTTAATGAAATAGTAAGATTATTTTATCATGTGTTTCGGCAGGACACTTCAGCAGTCGCTTCAACGCGTCGCCCTTTAAGAATAGCGACCGCCAGACTAAATGTTTAAAGATGTCCACCGCCTTGTACAATCTACAGTACGTCTTCATTTGTTTTATTGGTCTTTTTCCTTAACTTTAAAACAATGTTAAGTTCCTTTAAGAGTCTATGCCTTTCAGTATCTTACACTTACTGTACTCAGCCTGAGATACAAAATGAAGTACTTGTATTACTTTCACATATTCTCTACGTTTGTATACCCAGCTCTATAAAGCTCTACGGCATTACTGCAGCCAAACATTAGTTCTATATCAAGTTTAATCTCTGTAGCCGATCATGATATCTTGATCTGCCCAGTACCTGTCCAGCGTTTACTCAAAGGTCAACAGGTTTGTTTTCTCGACCACATGTTCTGGGAAGCTGTTGCTCACATCCACAACACCTCGTGAGTGGGTACGACACGCTTCCTGTCCTAAGGATCATCGGTTCGATCCCGGGGCACACCCTGTCCACCCACTCTTAGGGAAAGAACTCGGTCAAGTGCAGTGACGGCCACTGGACTTGCTTGTGTACTGAAGGTTTAGTGTAGTGTGCGCTATACCCACACTGCTCCTGTTCCCTACCATTGTCTTAAACAAAAGTAGCGGTGGTCTCTACTGTCCTATAAAATGACCATATTAATAATTTAACATCTGAGCGGATGCAACCAACCCACGGACCGTTACCATGGCAGGGTAAATATGCAACTACATAATGAGGCTGTTACTGTAAATCAATATGGTCACCGCTGGGGGGAGACTCATAACCTAACCTAATATAACCCGTTGTTGATTTTTTTTTGGAGACACACACTAACCAGGTTAATGACGTCATGAATTACATTTGTCAGACGAATTACAACTAACATATAAGAGTTAAATGTCAATAAACTACGACCATCTACAACTACCTCCAACTACCACTATCATCAACTACCCCTATTACTATTACCATCATTGACAACTACCATTATTACAACTATTAACAAAAAACTACCACTACAGCCATCAACAACTACCACTAACATCAATAACTACCATTACCATCGACTACAGCTACTACAACCACCATTAACTACCACAATCAAGAACTACCACAAACACCACCAATAAGCACCACTACCATCAACAGCTACCACCACCACCACCAACTAACACGCCTACCTGGGGAAGTTATAAACACAAGCAGTAAAACCAACATCGACCACACCCTCTCTCTCGGGTAGGGCAGGGCAGGTAGGAGGCGTGGCAATTGGAGGTTGGAATGGGGAATGGGGAAGGGTTAATGATGATGGGAGGTGTTATGATGTCACACACGCATGCACACACACGTACACACAGGCCAGCTCCCTCGCCCCAAACATTCACAGACTTTACGCTTGATGATATTACACCACCATGTCTCCTCTTACCTGGGCAGGAGGAAAATATTACCTTGGGAAACAGATATCTGAATTGACCTTATTTGCCGTAGCTTTAAAGGGTAGTCAGTCTCACAGTTTATTAGGAATTAAAGATCTGGTGAAGTTTAGGAGCCAATGTTTATTTCACCTGATGATTACCGGTATACAACCTGACCTGACCTGACCTCTCCCCCAGTTAGTATTAGGTTGTTTAATCACCAGATGAAAAAAGTTGGGGTTCACTAAAGTCGTCAATTTCAGAAGATAAACCAAGAAAATCTGAATTCTTTGTGTCGTAGCTTCAGTGAGAGATTATATACAGGAGAGGTCAGAAGCCCCTCATAACAAGCACTACAGTACGTGGCGACCTGACTCGTGTTCACGTTTATATCAGATGATTTTAACGACGTTTATATAAATGATATAAGCTGCTTTGTTGATGTTCACAGCAGCTGATCTGTTGTCAATAATACTATAATATTTTGCATTAATATTTATAAATGTCCGATAATTATCACGGCAATTATTTAGTTGGTTAGTCTGTCCTTATTAAGATCACTATCACCGTCTATGATTCGATAATGCAGCAGTCTCCGTGTGTGTGTGTGTGTGTGTAGGAAGAATCATGAGTGCTGGTATGTACATATTTGGCAGGAGTACCCCACCCCCCCACCCCACCTTTAGGAGTGTCATGGTCGTTCCAGCATGAAGGTCACTCACCCACAACACGAGACACACACTGTATTGACCTCCAGGACGGACGCTTACCTTCCGGAAGGCTACACAGGCATTTGTTATTGTAGTTGTTGTTATTATTGATATAATTGTTTTTGTTGTAATTGTTGATTTTTTATGTTCGTCGTTGTAATTGTTGTTGATTTTGTTGTAGATTTTGTAGTTGATGTAGTTGTAGCAGTAGTTAATGTTATTTTTGTTATTATCGTTTGCTTGTTACTGCTGTTATTATTATTATTATCATCATCATCATTATTGCCGGTATTACCATCACTATTATTCATTCCATCACTACCATAACTACTATCCTAAACAGTATTACTAGAAGACAACTCCCAACAGTATAACCTGATAGGCCTGCTCACCCCACCACCTGCTATCGACGCCAGCAGGCGTCAAGGGAGGGCAATGAACTCACTCCGGTATGTATTAATGTTGGTGCTTTGAACCGTCCTCCCCAGCACCGCTATTGTGTACACGAGCCCCCCGCTGCTGCTGCTCGAACACACACGCATACACACACACATACATACACACAAATACACACACATACATACACACAAATACACACATGTACACATACGTGTACATAATATATATACACACACACGGTTGGGGAAGGTAACTAATTAGTCCCGTCACCTGCAACAAAGCCAGCAGGTAAGCCGGTTTATGTAGCCATATTAAACCTCTGTGTTGTCAGGCCTTTATGATAATCAGCTGAACACGGAAGGAAAAAAGAGTGATAGCGAATATTGGAGAAATATTAATAGAGAGAGAAATAAGAGGAAGGTTGGGTTACCTGGTAGCCAAAATACCCAGACTGGTTCATGAGAGGTTAAGACTGGCCGAGGCGGATTACCAAGTTTATGTCGAGTCATTACAGGGGTTCAGTATGTGTGTGTGTGTGTGTGCGTGCGTAGTCTGGCTATCTTATGACACGGAGCAAAGTTTACCGCATAGCTACGATTCTATATACATTAAGTTGTAGCAATAGAAGGAAAAGTTATCCCTACATATAGTCTAATAACCACAGCTGAATAAAATCACCTGCCGCTGCAAAATGAAGTGGTGCAAGTGGCCGAGTTTCCTTACGCCGTTTGCCTCTGTCTACCCAACGGAAATTAGGGGACCAGGCTGTTTATCGATTTGCGGACCGTGTTCCAGGGTAATGGTTAGCCAGTGCAGTTGGCGAGATGTCCAGTCTTATTAGATTGTTCCTTGACTAGGCCACACTGCACGTCAATTTAAGGTGTGGTTATATTGGCAACACACACACACTAACTAAACCTCTGTGCTAGATCATCAGGAGTCTCGCCACGACACTACAACACACTCACTCCTTTCCACAATCTTCTCAAAAAAAAAAACATGAAAATACACAACTACTACTAAAAAATCAGTCACTGGTTGCGTTAATTTAGCCGTCCTATAGAAGAAACATACCTCACGTGAGTAATACATCAATCAGCTACATCAGGAAAGGCGGGAAGTGATGACGGAATGCAACCAATAAATCCATAACTTACTCTTGACTTTGATCCAACTAAAGCAAAAAAGGTCGAGTGTCTTCATCGACCTGACTTCATTAACTTTTGTCAAGTGTTGAACTAAAACTTGACGTGGAGAGCATTGAGAGAGAGAGAGAGAGACTTGTGGCGAGGAACACACCCAGGGGAGTTATGATACAACCATTATTATTTACATGTCCAGAATACCGCGTCACTGTATCCATTAATTTTAGTCATCATTTCACAAATTATCAGCTAACTAACGGTTCGGGTGAGTGATCTGTTCTTTATCAACTTCATTGTCTAGAGTACCCGGAGAAGAGTACCCGGAGAAAACCTGTCATGTTTGGTTGGGTCATAAGAAAAACATCCTTTCTACACGTCCCAGGCGGGGGATTGAACCCAGGAGACTGTCCTAAGTGATACACGCTTTACCATCCTCTGTATAGGCCGATGAATTAAGTACATTACGTTACTGTACTAAGGAACTTTTGTATGCTGTCAATGTCTTTAAGTACACCGTGTCGATAATCATAAGACTTTATGGTTTCCAGAGGGTTAAGTGAGGACTGGCTGAGGGGGGGGTCGCGTGTTTACTAAGAGGTGGTGGTGTTGTGGAGAGTAACTTGTGGTGTCGTCAACAGATGGCGTCCTGAGTGTGTTGACTTGTTGCATAATACAGGTACTCGATATTGTTTAATAATATTGAATAGTGTTGACATATTGTGTAGTGTCTATTGTGTATTAATAACGTTAATGTGTGTGTATGGGTGGTGTTGTATACCAGGCTATTATTATTATTATTATTATTGTAGTGTGTGTGTGTAGTGTGTGTGTGTGTGTGTGGTGTGTGTGTGTGTGTGTGTGTGTGTGGTGTGGTGTATTGACTCTGTGTGTGTGTAGTCTGTGTGTGTGTGTGTGTGGTGCAGTATTACATGGTAGATGCCTGTGTGTGTGTGGGTGTGTGTGTGTGTGTGTGTGTGTGGTGTGGTGGTGTCTGTGTGCTGTGTGGTGCGTGTGTGTGTGTGTGTGTGTATAGTGTGTGTGTGTGTAGTGTGTGTGTGTGTAGTGTGTGTGTGTGTGTGTGTGTGTGTGTAGTGTGTGTGTGTGTTAATGTACCCGTGTATTGATCAACATGCCTCCCACCCCCCCTCCCCTTGAGTTGTGTCGGGTGTGTCAAGCATGTGTCGCGTTTAACCTCGTGCGCCATGTGTATAACAACAAGTGTCACATACTGTATATATAACTCAGGTGTCATATATAAGTCGTGTCTAGTAAGATATATTGTCAGGTGTGCCAGATGTCATATGTGGTGTCAGAAGAGTACTATGACTTAACCCCTTTAGTACGCTGATTTAATCCCTTGACCAAGTTTATTTAACCCCTTGAGTAGAATGATTTAACCCTTTGAGTGCGATGACTGACAAGGATAAGGATAAGCAAGGATAAACAACACTTACCTTAAATAAACAGCCGCACGGAAAAAGGATCCTGAAGTGAAGTAATCCAACACGATTCCAAAATGGATCCGATGTCATCACAGTGATGCTCTTTAGTTCATTTGACAAGGCGCGGCTAAGGATTATCACCTCCCCCCCACCAGAGCGCAGTAGAGGGAGAGAGAGGGGGGGATCTTGGGGTCTATAGGTTAGGTTTATGCCATGCAGTAAAGACTACTACAGCTACACACTACAGCTGGCTACACCACCACACAACATAAGGGGCAAGTTGGTATACGTACTTCGTGGGTATTTTGGACAACCCACATATTTCCCGCCACAGCTGAGGGCTATCTCTGATTGGTGGAGATTTCCCGCGTTACCACTAGTGTTTTGATTGGCTGTGCTTTCATTCACTGGCACTTAATAAAGCATAAAAGCAGTAGAGAGTTATATAAGCAGCTTTTTAATAGCTTTAAAAGTTTAATCGCCGCCCTGGATCTGCTCTTGATACATGTAAGGCACTATCACTAGAAGCATTAAATCTTGCAAGAAATAATCACTCACTTTAGTAATCGTTTCGGCGAAGGAAATCTCATGAACAGCTTCAGAGACTTCGAGCAGTGGTTTGTTTACAATATGCTACAAAGACTACGAGAAGGCCTCTTGAGTGATATGGACTTTATTGATACCCTTCTAGTTTCACTGAGAGTCTTGAGCACAACAGTAGCCAGCGTGTCATATCTTGCGACACTGTGAGCTTGACGGACCTGTTGCCAACAGTCACCGTCTATTCCGAAGCTCCACTGACTGTTTCGAGGCCTCACTTACTGTTCCAAATGATTCATTAAACATTTTCACGTTCCAGAAACCTCACTGTTTTTAATCTTTTTTCTTTGTTATCTTTAAATCATCATAGTTCACTGCGGAACTCCACCGACTGTTTCGAAGCCTCGATATATTACTTTAAATGATTCCTTAAACATGTTGAAGTTTAAAAAATTCAGTAAGTCTCTATGGCGTTTTCTCTTTATTCTGCGAGCCAATGACTTATTAAACACTTGGAATTTTCAGAAACCTCACTCTTATTTCCTGGAGGACTTGAGTTGTAAAAATCCTTCTTTTTTTTCTAGAGATTCCCCTTGTGTATAATCCTTAGTGCCTCGCTACAGCGGTCGACAACAAGCAACTGTTAAGAGGTTCTTCCGCGTCTGTGTCCACGTTCCGGAGCCTCACGTGGGGTGCACTGCAGAGGAGTCACTGTCATAACGTCTTCACTGGTGACAGTTCTGAAGCCTCACTGTGGCCGACGTCCACCTCCGGGGCACCACCACCACCTGCCAGGAAGACAACGCTTTATTAGTTTAGGCTAACAATGTTACTGACAAGACTGGAGTACAATATTGCCTGATCTGTGGAGTTCTGTCAGGTCTTGGCATTGAGGATGGTGTCACTGTCTACCGTGTTTTAAGTCACAAGCTGAAGCTATCTATGAGGAACAGAGGAGTTTAGAATAAATTGAGAAGTCACCCCCGAGGGACCCAGAGTCGACGCCACAGCCTTCCAGTATGAAAACGATCACGTATATACAGGAGTAACGATAAAAACCACACACACGCGCAGCTGACTCTTGACGCATTAGTTACATTAAGCCACCAATTATTGAGGTACAGGGCGGTGACAGTCTCTCGATATTTATATTTACAGAGTCTTTTTACCAAGTCACACATCCAAAACATGAACTACATCACATTCTACACATAACTATAGGCTTCGTGTCATCACTTAGAGTTACATTTGGAACTGTAAAGTACGCATCACGGACGTGGGTGGTGTGTTCTCTAAACAATACGTACAGTGCAGTCAGGTGAGTTAATGTCATGAATAAAATCTATACCCACCTGAGCCCCCCAACCTCTCATACTGCGGGTTGGGGGGGGGGGGGTATCAAACTCATTAACCCCACCTCCCCCTTAAGCTACAGTATCTTGATGATAAGCAACAATGAGCTTCCTAGATGACTCCCATCAGCAAGGTTATACACTACACGTCACTGTTACAGATGACGTCGCTGTCGCCTTCCATATACATAACTTGAACAATTGACGTCATTCTTCTTCCACACACACGTCACTATAACAATTCACTGTACGTAAACTCTGACGTCCAATCCATACACTTTAAACTCTGACGTCCAATGAAAACGCCGTAAACACAGACGTCCAATCAAAATCTTAACTTAAGCTACCTACATGTGGTAACGCTCCAGCTTGTTGCTATGCACTCAAGTCAGCTTCATCTTTAAGCTACCACTTGTGTAATGCTCCAAGTTGTGGCTCTGTACACTTACACCATACATACACCACACACACGTACACAACACTACACCTACACTACACCATTCTATATCACACCACAGCTATATCACACCACACCTATATCGCACCACACCACAGCGCTATCACACCACACCACAGCTATATCACACAACAGCTATATCACACCACACCTATATCACACCACACCTATATCACACCACAGCTATATCACACCACACCTATATCACACCACAGCTATATCACATCACACCACACTACAGCTATATCACACCACATCCTGACTATCACCACAGCTATGTCGCACCACCTGCACAGCTATCACCACACCTGTTGCTATCACACAGCTATCACCACACCTAATGCTATCACCACAGCTATATCACCACTATGCTATCCTGCAGCTATGTCATCACACTACAGCTATATCACCCACATCACAGCTGTCACCACATTTATGTCACACCACACCCAGCTATATCACCACACCTATGCTGTCACACCACAGCTATATCACACCACACCTATATCACACCCACGCCACACCTATATCACGCCACACCTATATCACACCACAGCTATATCGCACCACACCTATATCACTCCACACCTAAGCTATATCACACCACAGCTATATCACTCCACACCTAAGCTATATCACACCACAGCTATATCGCACTACACCACAAGCTCCCTGGATAACGAACTAAATACTTGGAAACGAAAACTGAAACAATGAATAACCACAACAAACACGTGGTGGTAACGATGAACATGACTAACGGAGGAAAGCGACCGGGAAATACTGAATGACATGACTAGTAGTGTAATGAAGTCGAGTGTCAAGTGGCGGTGACGGCTGACAGGAGGAGAGGTGTAGGAGTGAAATATCTCATCAACACCTACCTGCCTCATCAGTCATGATCATTTTACCAGACGATCAGCCTATGCTGCGGCTCCTCTCTCTCTCTCTCTCTCTCTCTCTCTCTCTCTCTCTCTCTCTCTCTCTCTCTCTCCACGCGTCTCTATATTATCCCCCAAATGGGTCTTCATATCAAAAGTGACGAGCGCTATGGGATTTTTATTTTTTTTTATTTTTTGTAAACTCTGAGAATCACGAGGTTTGTTTTAATGGATAGTGTCAACAACATTTCCTCTACGCCCCCTCCTACCCTCTCTCTGTCAAAGTGTTGCGTCACTGTGTCCATGGTGCTCCCCCCCCTGTGATAGACAGGTCCTTTGAGCAGACACGAATGCCACTCCTTGTCAACAAACATGATTTATTCAGTCACATCTGTGTGTGTGTAGTTGGGTAGGATGATAGGGGGGGGGGTGGGATTCGAGGGAGCGATATGGGAGGGTGGGTGGGTGGGTGGGAGGGAGAAAGGACAAGAAGGAGACAGAGAGTAGGGAAACAGGGAAACGATTGAGAAAGGAAGGTGTGTCCAATACAAAATACAAACATCGCAGTTCACGTTCATTTATTCAAGAGTTATTCACCACCACCTGTCTTTCTCCATTTCTTTGTGTGGGTAGCAAGAGAGAGAGAGGTGCTGCGAGAAAGGGGAGGGGGTGAGGCGGCAGCAGCAGCAGCCCCTCACCACTTCGATCCGTCCTCAAGCGAAACATCTGCAGCTGGCGTGACTTATTCGATAAAAACGTAAACATTGCTTATTAGCGACCGTTTTCTACACGAGCCAAAAAAACAAAAAAAATAAAACTACAAAAAACACATTGAGTATTACTTATCAAACGCGACATTAGAAGAAGAAATGTGATTTTTTTTTTGTTGGGATAAATGTCCAGAAATGAAGGAGACAAGTGAAGGCACGAGAGAAGTTTTCCGATGCGGCAAGTCAAGGTGGTGCCGGGACCCCGCCTTGGCTGCCAGGCGTGTGAGTAATCCAACGAACTTCATTCACTCACACACACACACATAAACTGTTGATCTTATATTTTATGATAATCAGCTCTTGTATATGTGTGTGTATGTCAGTCATTCGTTCGTTCTGTCCGTATGTCTGTCGATGTCTGTATAGTTGTATCTGTATTGGTTTATGTTCCTCTGTGCGTGTAATAATAATAATAATAATAATAATAATAATAATAATAATAATAATAACGGTTTATTAATAGAGTTGCAGCCGGTGGCTGAAAATATACAAACTTGCATGTGATTTAGACATAATAATATACTTTCAATACATTTGCAGGGCTGTACAGTACATAAATCAGGAGCTGTGTGTGTGTGTGTGTGTGTGTGCCTGCCTGACTCCGTATACGTACAGTACATGTGAGACGAGAGACCTAATCAGCTGACTCGCATAACTCTCACCAGTCAGCCTGAACCTCCTCAAGACACATTCATTAACCTTCAAAGACATACCAGAGCTGCAACCCCATCCCCACCCCCGTGACGTCAGTAAAAGGCGAGTCGGTATCTGATCGGCACCAATCGAATGGACGAAAATGCACATCAGATCACCAATTCCATCACTAATCAGTAACTCAATTTAACTGATCTAACAAATGTCCAACTACCGTGAATTTCTTTATTGATCATACTATGGGAAACTACCATGGATTTCCTTAACTGATCAACATTATATATATATATATTAAACTCTCATGAATTTACTTACTGTTCAAATACTAACTATACTACCATTGTCTGAAGAAAATATATGGGACCCAAATACACGTAATTAAACTGGGGGGTTTGGTGAAGTTTTAAGTTACGTCAACGATAAATTAAGTTAGGGTAGGGTAGAGTTGGGTAGGGTATGTTGACGATAAATTAGGTTATCTTAAGGGTACGTCAAGTTTGGTAGGGAAAGTTAGCTTATAGGATTAGTTAGGAGGTGAAGTTGAAGGAAACTTAGGTACGGATAAGTTAAGATTAAGTTGTAAGTTAGGCTAAGCTACGAGGTTATTTATTTTGCAAGTACCGTTAGGATTTTGTTAAGGCTAGGTTTTGTTGCGTCAGACAGAGCTAGGTTAAGTTATGCCGACGCTAAGTTAGATTAGGTTCGGTTTCAGGTTCGAGAATTACCAAGTTCAGTTCACCTTCTCCAGGCTGGTGAGAGAGAGACTGGCTGCCCGTGTATTCATCGTCCACGTGACCCGGATCTTACTAACAGCATTAGAAAAGAACCTCGTTAAAATTGCCTTTAAAACAGATGAAACAGATGCCCATAACGTGCTTTATACGACTGATGCCAACAGGCGGATACAGATGAACAGATCGATAGACAAATTAGACAGGCAGACAGACGGACGATCAGATCCTCACATACATCCGGAATAAAAAAAAAATCTCTATTGGTCTAGGCATATGAATAAATTAATCTAGGATAACAGCATTAAATATTTGTTGATAAATATTTGCACCGTCATGTGTTTGAGTGGTTGACTGCCTCCAGCTTCTCCGATTACGTGTACATCAACAACAAACGCATATATAGATAATTAATCAAGGACAAGTAGGATACCGCCGCCAACACCATGAAATATGTATTTTTGCTCCCAACTCCTGGTGTTTGAACGAGTGGTTTGTTGTCACGAATCCCTGTCATTTCAGATAAAATAAATACGCTACAGTTTGTCGTTATACATTACCTACATAATAACAGTTCCGGAAACAGACAGGATAATATTGACTTCTACAGGCGGGTTATATACTGATCCGTATTACGATGCCAGTGTGAACGGTGTAGGTAACGGATGAACGCTGCTTTTCATTGTATTGTAATGTTATGTTACAATATCACGAAGAAAATACCCACTATAAAAGAGACAAAAATGAGCAAATATATACTAAAGACCTGCTGTAGTCTCCCTTAGCACCCTCAAACAGACCTTGCTAAATACCGTAGCATAAGTTCTTACTAAATAAATTAACGCCGTGATTCCCTACAAGCATACACTAATATATGAGGTCAAAATATTTATAAAAATTAGCACTGAATGCTATGGACTTATTTCGAGTTGATGCTCTTTGCGTTTAACCTTAAATTCGGAGCCAATATGCAAATTGGATAATAAACCAACACAATTTGCATTAGTCGTTAGATTCATAGCAGTATGTAAATATATTCCATAAATGTATGTACTGACGACAGCTGGCCAGGACACTTTAATGATTTTGAAAGCTCCCACGACACCGTTTCAGCTGACCAATGAGAAGTTAATACTGACCGACGCTACATGCTGCCACATTTACACGTTATTTGTTGCAAGCCGCGACACACGGCTGGTTAGCGCAACCATTTACCTGAGACCCTGCATCATTCATGTCTCCATGTGGAAACTACAGGGGTCATGCCTCACTGACACACCTCCAGAAGTGTATCATTACTGTACATCTGGCATTACTCCAGAAAGTCGAGTTTACCAGTCCAATCAGAGTACAGGAATATTGAATTCGTGTACGTTAGTCTTACCTTTGTAATATTATCAATATGTGTAATATAGTAATGTTATATACTGTACTCTTAAGAAATATTGAGGTTATTAAATTAATTATGCATGGGATCATGTACTGTATCTCGATGATTAGTTATTGTTTTAAGGTCAAGGTTAATCAAATTTAGTTAAGTAAGGTTATGTTACGACAGCAGACATAACCTAATTTAACTAACTTAACCTTCAACTAGAGACATAGACAACACCTGATAATTTACGTAAAACAACTTCCACAACACAGAGAATCGTGAAGCTGCAGTCTACCCAAGTCAATTTACAAGTAACTGTCGCGGCGTGTCAGTGTAACCAGATTTACCCGACAGATTCAATAACTGGCACCGCTAAAATGAATCGTTGTATCACTTCACCACAAACACCATTTTTTTTTATACATTTCAATTATGAATAAATAACCGTAGGAGCGAGGGGAAATGTGACAAGAAAAATACCAAATTCTTTCTTCCTAGAGATGCAATATTTATTAAAATTCATAAAATAGTGAACTGGTGTTTGGTTGACAGAATTCCCAGCCATGTTGCCTTGCTTCTTGTTGTTTCCTCACACTCTACATTACGAATCATTATAAAAAAAATTAAAATCCATATTCATCACGGTGTAACATTATACGATAAGGTTTTGGACATATGGGGGAGAAAAATATTTAACTTCAAACATTATCTATTTTACCTGAGAGAGATCTAACCCGTGTGGGTACCATTAACAGCTGGGTGGACTCGGGGTGCGAACCAAGGACCCACAGAAGGTAAGCCGTATTCACACCTGGCAGCAACACCCGTGTCCACCTTAGTGTCTCGACACACAGCTTTATAGCCGGACACAGCTGTCCTTTACACCACAGCCACACCAATTCACTCCCTAAGGGTGGTCATGGGTTACAAGCCACACCTACGCCACACCTTGAGCCACTCCTCCACGTCTAACTGGTGGTGATGAGGTGGTATATCTCAGTGTACCTGTAACTAGTTAACACAATCGTTACGTGTGTGTGTGTGTGTGTGTGTTGGGTTTAGTTAAGAGTTACCTTGTGCTGTATGCTGTCATTAAAATGCAACATATCAGTAGAGATTATAGTTAAACTAAAAATCTATCCGGGACATACTAACACACAATGTAAACATCACCCAAGTCTTCCCATCACCGTTCACTCGCCGTGTGCCAAGCAAGACCGACCCTCCCACAAGTTCACCAAACTCCTCCCGTTCCTGGTGCCACAACACTTACATAAAACGTATAAACGTACCTCTAGCTGGTGAGGTTAGTGAGGTAGAAAGCCCTCCCCAGTGTTCCTGACCCCGGCGGCCATGTCTGCAACACCATGGAAATAAGTAAAAAAATAAATAAAAAATTACAACTCAAATATCTAAGTCATGTATTATTACTTAAAACAGAACGTGATAAGACAACCAATCCGGATCTCTCTCTCTCTCTCTCTCTCTCTCTCTCCAATTTAAGTTATTATTTACATTTACTAATTCGTAAAAAAAATGCAAACACCATTTACAGCAACAATAATAATAAAACCATAATTCAGATCCATACGTTATATTTTTCCTTCTGCCTGGGGGGTATAAGAGAACTAATGACATATAGTTACGACACATCCTGGGGAAATAAGAGAACTCGTAATTTAGTTAGGACAGAGAGAGAGGGCCTTAAGTGTAAATTCCGACGCCATTTCCTCCGTCAAGTTTGGTGTCGCAGCTTTAAACTGAATCAGTTAGCCTGGGGTGAAAAATTTAGCGAGCGAACCTTTGAGAACCTGCACAGAAGTCGGCTGCATAAAGATTCCTAGCGATGAATATTCCTTGTAAATGGGCACAAAATAATAATAAGACTCAACTTTAACTGCATGCAATCGCTTATTAATACTATTTAGAATACAATTTACCTATGGTAGAGATATTTAACAAGTGTACGCGTATATACTTAAGTATGGCACAGGGTAATTTTATTATGAATGAACGTTATTTATTTATTTCTGTGCCTTACCTTATTCAAACAGTTACGAGGCATTCATTCATGGTACGTTACATCTACCGTTAAGAGCCGTAGTCATCGTTTATTATTTTCAGTTACGAGGAATAATGACAGTGACTCAGATGATCATTTGTTAAGCACTATTTGGCAACTCTACGGATGCCGTGTGTCGCGTTTTACTACCCTGTTGCTAAGCGAATATTATCCCACTTTACACTTCAATAAAAAAATCATCCTTTTAAATCATTAACAAAATCATAATGGAACCTAATATTACAATAAAATCAATGTATAATAAATCTATAGAGCTTTAATGGCAGATAGAGAATAATCAACAAACACAGCGACTCTTAGCCTCGTGTATTCTACTGTTGCAAATTTTATAGTGCATAAATTAATGTATCTTGTATCTGTTAATGTTCTGATGACAGCTGACAGGGATTATTTCTGCCACACAGTTACACCGAGACACATTAAGTTATTCTGCCTGTACAGCCCCGACCAGGTGATGGCCAATTCCCCAGCCCTTACAATTTGATGAAATGGATTAAACTTGCTTGTGGGAATGTGAGAGCCTCCCTCCCAGTACAAATCCCCCCACCCCCCGTACCACACACTTCCCCCTCCAGTTACTACCATCCCCTCCCGGTACAACCACACCCTCCTCTTCCAGTTACTACCATCCTCTCCCGGTATCACCACACCCCCTCCCTCCCTGTACCACACACTTCCCCTCCAGTTATCACCACCCCCTCCTGATACTACACACTTTCCCTCCAGGTACCACCACCCCCTCCCGATACCACACACTTTCACTCCAGGTACCACTATGCCCTCCCGGTATTACCCCCTTACCCACGGCCAGCTGCAACAAGGAGCCTTTGTTTTGTTTTTCGCTGCTTTTAATGTCTTAAGAACGCTGGCTTGCAGGGACCATGCGCTCTCCTGATCAATATGACTCGAACTGCTCACCGACACACACACAGAGTTGTGTACACTTTTCTCCTATAAAGGACACACGCTAACACACACAAGAGCTCTGAGGTACACACACACACTTGGATGTAATAAATCCCCTTACACAACATAAGTCCCACACAAATAGGAAATTCCCACATATGTCCCACACAAATAGGAAATTCCCACATATAAGATATTCCCACAAACACGAAATTCCCACAAGTAATAAATTCCCTTACAAGCAGGAAATTCCCACAAGTAATAAATTTCCTTACAAGCCGGAAATTCCCACAAGTAATAAATTCCCATAAAAGCAAGAAAATTTCCACAAACAATAAATTCCCACGCAGAGGAAATTCCCACAAATAAATTCCCTAATAAACAGGAAATTCCAAATAGAGCAAATAAATTTCCACACAAGTGGGAAAATTCCAAACAAATAGAAAATTCTCACACAAGGAGGAAATTACCAAGAGCAGGAAACACCCACACAAGGAGGAAATCACCCCACACGAACAGGATATTTTCACACAAGAACGAAGTCCCCCAATCAGAGGAAATCCCCACATAAGTTAGAAATCCCACACAACGAGGAAATCTCCCACAACCAACTACATCCGGTGTGGCGTGCTGAAATTATACCAAATTGAAAATGTTCTGGGCATGCGCAGTTCCATCAAAACATCGTTGAAAGCTTGAGGCGCGCTGATATTACCCCTCGGAATAAAAGGTTAAGTTATTTTAGGTTAGGTTAAGTTTGGTTAGTTTTCTATCGAACTGCGCACACCTAAAACATTTACAGCATGGTACAATTTCAGTTCGTGACACCGAAAGTCGCGCGTTTTATTCTAGTTGCTATGTGGCAGTTCATTCGTCTACAACTCATAAATAAAGGTTTGAAATGTATTAAATTCAATCTATAAATGGAATTGAAATATATTAAATTTCATCTACTCAGAGAATTAATATATTATACTGTACGAGTGTATTAAATTTTACGTTGCAGCATAAAAGAGACGAATTGTTTTCACTGTTTAATCTGGTGTTATGAGCCTCAAGCCTAGTGTTACCCCCTAAGCACCGCTCTAGTCCATCCACACACTTCTTATCCGACTGCACGGGGAATTCCATATTACTAAACCGCTTTTTAATCATAACTTAACCTTGCATAACCTAACATAACTTAAACTAACCTCAAATAACTTTACATATCTTTCAAATTAATCTGAACCTAACCTAACCAAACATACCATGACAACCTAATCTAAAACCTAACAAAACTTAACCTTATCTAACATAGCCAAGCCCTAGCCTAACCTAACGTATCCTAATCTATTATACCCTAAACTAACATAAACTAACCTAACTCAACACAAAACAACCTAATCTAACATGACAGTCGTTAAACTCAGTAATATGACCCCTATTTACAGACTGGTAGTTAAAATCCGTATATGGTAATCTAAAACCTTATTCTCAGATTGGTCGTATTTCAAAACCAGTAATCTGACTATGGTCGTTAAAATTGGTAATCTAATCCTTTTACGGCTGTCGTCGTTAAAATCCGTTATCTAACCTAAATATTCTCAGATTAAGGTCGTGATATACCGTAATCTGACCCCTAAAATTCATATGGTAGTTAAAATCGGTAATTTGTCCCTTAATTCAGCTACTAGACTTGCCCCGAACGCCAGACATCGAGGCCATCTAAAAAAAAAAAAAAAAAATACTCCCAAACTACGTACACTTCCTTTTAAAACGAATCTCTCTCTTTTCCCCTTAAATTATGTTTCTTTATTCCCCTAGTCCGTTTAATAATAATCTCTTTAAAGAACGAATAATCTTTACCCCACATCAACGACTACCCCTTTAAACGAATCTCTAAATTCCTCCACCTCTTTAAGACGACCTCTAACCTTTAAAACGACTCCCCGAATCCTCCTGCCTCCCCCTAAAACGACTTGTAGATCCATTTACTCTTTAAAAATCCCCTGAACTCCTATTAAAGCGTCCTCCTAAATCCCCAATCCCTATTCAAAAAGATTCCTATATCCCCAACTATTTAAGTCTCCACCTAAATCCTTATCCGTTCAAAACGACTCCCTAATCTCATTAAGCCTTTAAGACGATTCCCTAACCCTTAATCCTCTATAATTATAATCGATTCTCTAAAATCCCCAATTCTTTCAAACTGATCCCTAAATCCTCTTTAAATGAATCCTTAAAATCACAGTTCTTTAAACCGTCCCAATCCGCCCCAAATTTCCCTTTAAAATGACTCCCGGTTGCACCTGCTCCCTTCCAGCCCTCCCTCCCTCCCTCTCCCCAGCATTTGCGGCCGTGACCTCATAGAGGCAGGGGCTTCCCTCACTCCATCAATACTTCTTTGCTTGCTGTTGATGCTATTCTGTTTTACAGCGCTTTAACAGCAAAGGTCATCAAGCGCGTAATCTAAGTTAGTACATACACTAGTCATGAACAATTAAGATAATGTCTGGTTATCTCTCTGGCTCCTACCATTAAGATTTGTTTTCCCAAATTACATCTTACGACATCGGAACTTCATCGCCCTAGTAAAGGTTAGGTTAGTCAGAGTAGGTGAGTTTAATTAGGTTAGTTTGGCGAGGTGAGGTTAATTTGATTAGGTTAAATAATCCTGTACGTCGTTAATTGGGTTTTGTATCCCCCAAATCCCTGAGTCAGTAATAAATGCTCCGAAAATCATAACGTCATCCTCCACCATGAAAGCCTTTTAACTTCACAGGTTTGTGTCGCGGCCAATTTCAGAACAGATTAAGAAAAATTTCAGGACTATTAATTCATAATGTCAAGCATCCATCCTAATATTAACAAACCACTAATTATTATTTTTTTGAAACCTCCCTTAATCGAGATAAAAGATTTTACTGTTAATAATCCAGAAATAGATAGTCATTAAAACAGCCTCGTGCTAGTATCAGAACAAGTGACGGCGTCCTATATATTTTGAAACGACATTCTATTAAACATCAAAATAAAGCTTTGATTCCGACTAGTACAGAATTTAAACCATAAATAATATTGATAAAACATAGGTAGAAACGTACAATTTTACTAGTAATCAATTTACTGTAAGTGTAAAGGTTAAACATCTTGGAATAAATGGCGTCTCCAACTACGAGTTACTAGGTTGGTCGTTAAGTTGTCAACGTCACTATTAACAAACTATTAATTAGTGATTACAACACCCGTCTTTCACGATTAGCTAGAAATTGCACCAATAATCTGGCAAATTGGTTGTTCATTATCTTTCAGTTAAGGGAGTTGTTAGACTAATGTAGTTGGACAGCATATTAGAAGAATGTATTTTGATATGTCAAACTCACCGGGTATCACACAAATAACTTGTTTACTGTGTGTTTAAATAAGATGTTAATATAAAGAAAATTGTAATATAAGCTCATCAAATAGTTGACTACCAATAAAAAATTTCATTAATGGGTAGATCACAAGGTAAGGTTTGATACCATTATGCCGTTTATGGACGAGATGTGAAATAAACTTGTTGAGTCGTTCACTAAACAAAAACAACCCATCGAACATCCCAAGTACACAGTGTTGTTCACCTGGTTATTAATGACAGTATCTTTAACGTCATAATGCATCATAATAATAATAATAATTATTACTATTATTTTTTTTTTTATTATTACTGACTATAGTAACCTCGCGAGATGTTGAGTATAATAACCACCGTCACACTTGTTGGCAGCCTTTAACACGACTACCAGTGTGGCTTGTCTAGCGCTTGTATTACAACTGCTAGTACCATTACAAAGTAACGCTGATGAAACTTGCTCGACACAACACTTGTCTGGCTCTGAACCTGTGCATGCGTCTGTCTAGCTTTAACCTCCATTAACTGCATCCGTGTCACTAATACTAGCAGCACTAGTCCTGCTACCATTGCCTACCACCACCACTAGCAATACTTCGAGTCCTGCTACCATCACCACCAATAGCAACAAACTAGTCCTCCTACCACCAACATCACCACTAGCATCACAACGTCTGCTGATGATACAGCCACCACTCAGCACTTACATGGTGCTAATCATGCCCGATGGACCTCTCTATCGCCATCTCCGCAATCAACAGCGTCAATATTATCACTTGCACCACTACTACTGGCACTACCATTACTACTACAACCACTAACACCACTCGGCCGCTCCCTCACACTACCGCCGGTCAACAACAAACTCCAGAAAGTCGTGGGAATTACCGGGTTTTCCGTCATTTCCCAGTAAGTGTCGACATGACGGCCCGCATCATTTACGTCTCCGGGTGGCGGTAAGGGAGTGTCCCTCTGGAGACCTCCACCAAGCGGGTCTTCATTAAATAGACAGAATTTGTCTGAGCGATGCAGCTTGCGTCCGCACCTCACTGAAGCTATTGCGAGACTGACTCGCGTTTCTCTTTCCTCGGCGGCTGGCTCGGCCCTCGTTCCCGAGTCCCAACCTCACCCCTAGCAGACTGACTCCTCCCTCCCTCCCAATCATCATTCATCTTTTACTAATAGAGCGACCCAACCACCAGTCTAGTTCGATCCACTGCAGAAAACTATTAACCACTCAATCATCATTTTTAGTTATTTTTTAACTAATTAGGACTATTTAATCTAATCACTATTCGTTCAACATCCTTTTTATACTCCCTTAAGTTAATTATTGCATTGGTGGTTACTCAACCATAATTCGTTCACATTCATTCTTATAGAGCTGCCTAATCACCTCCAAATCACAGCTCTGGGTTCTATAAGGTATGGAAATAGATCAACCCAATCACTTATGTACCAAAGTATTATCAAGCGTTTGACACTTCAGCCTTTCTCACTACTCAATCACTCATTCTCCAAATCACTTCTCTATTGGTACTCTCATTAGACATATCAGAAACAGACACTGCTCAGAAATAAGTGCAAATACAGTTGTATCTGATATTAATAAAGCTTGGCAGGCCCCAATCAGCTACTGGGTAGAAATAATCTTAGCCCATCTACGTATGTATTGACTTAGCTGATACAACAGATGTTTACTGCTGGGGTTGACGGGCCCCTCATCATTCACTTAATGATTCTGTCAATCGGTCATTCACTCCAATTTCAAAATTCAATATTGTCATCCAATTTACCGTCCATGGGGGGGTTACACGACAGCTGCCGTAGCCCCAACTCCCAAGCTTTTATCAATAACCCTAATAACTTAAGGCTTATCTTGTTACAGTATTACATTCTTTTAGAACTAACTGTTAAAGAGCCAATTTTTATTTCTTGAAGAGAAGTTCCCAAAAGTGCAATATAATAATATACTAAAAGTCCCTAAGGTAGGTTTGGTTGGTGCTATGATCCACGAACAGTATTACTAATTAAGTTGTCCTAACCAACCAAACCTTACCTACAGTAACTTACTAACCAGAGACAATGCCATTGAAAATTATCTCAGAATTGTCTAAGCTATTGATTGTAAAGATAAAATTCCTGAGATTCGGTTACTGACAACAAATACAATACCTTTTCTAGTACTTTTCTGATTTTCAACTCACGATATCCGAGTTGAGTAAAAAAGCCAAAAGTGCCATTAGAAAATATTTGTTTTCCGAAATTATCATTAAACACAAATATCCTATATCTAATTATATCCTCTACTATAAAATTTAATTGACCCGTGTTTCATACGAATTTGACTTTCATTTCCGTCGGAAAACGGAAATTAGTTATGGAGATATATCTCTCCCATTACCAACAATACTGATAGCAAAAAATGTGTAGAGCTTTGAAGTAGAAGGAAACTGTTGGGTAAAGACACGCAACAAATTGCCGAACCGAAAACACCTAACCAGAGAAACCAGGACCTGACCTAACCCTCTGGCCAGGGAGGAGAACCCCAGGTGAGTAAAAACATACCTTGGTCAGTGTCTCTTTCAATACCAAGTATGCCGAGTTTCACGATACTAACAGTCTGAATCACACCTTGGCCACTTGGCTGAAGAATGGAGAACACCGCGTGACCTGAAGATGTCAACAGCTGCGACTTCATTCTCAAAAACTCGCCGAATTACGTGCTAATCCACCAACGCACAACCTTCTCAGTCACACGCCATCGTGCAACTAAACATTTTCAAATTCAGAATCAGTGTTGCCACTCATGAAAAAAACATCTTTCAAGATTAGTGTCTGAATCTTTCAAGATTGAAAAAAAATCTAAGTATGACAAAATAATAAATAGTTACAAATATTTCAACTTTAATCCATACTATTTCACAAAATTTACAAATATATGATATGAATAGGCACACTTGATATTCTCAGTATAACAGAAAACGAAAACATTCACTGGTTGGAGGGAAGACTAAACTAAATTTTAAGTAAAATCACTGCAGAAATTATTCATATTATGTATACAAGTATACCTATAGTACTGATGCATACTACTTCACAAAATTTACAAATAGATGACATGAATAGGCACACTAAAAGTTTAAATAAATCATCGCATAAATTATTCGTATTATATATACAGTACAAGTATACACAAATACAGATTCAGAGTTTGCTATGCTAACAAGACTTCCTCTGATTGGCTCACAAGTATCATGGTTTACCAGCGAATTTTTACTATATTTCAGGAAAATAGAAATCTAAATGACTCGAAAACTATAAATTTCCCACGGAGACGATATAGAGCAAATTATTGTTTTTGTTTTCTTGCTCCATCTCCCTAGAGTTCTGGCTAGGAAATTAGGTAAGGTTAGGTAGGTTTCTTTGGTTGGTTAGGTCAGGTTCTATTATGTTCTAGTAAATATCGCCTCTTTTAAAATACTTACTATAATAAGAATATCTGTGAAAAAAATAATGAACTCAAACAACTCCTTTTGGTAGTAGCACTGTTCTTTTTCTCTATCTCCCATTATACAAATCAGTATGTAAGTTATGTGATTGTACTCTACCAAATTTACACCCAGTACTGTAGTGCTATAAAATTTTGTACTATACCAGGTCCTCTCCCACTAGGACGCAAGGTGACCAATAAAAAGACTAAACAACTCCTACCTCAGTGCCAATCATTCACTCAAAACGACTATAATAGATTTGTATAATTATTTACACTTGTTGCTCACTTTTTTTACGAGTACAGTAATAGTGTATCTTAATTTTGGGTATGCATATCACCCAGTTAAATAATATACTGTACATGCAGAAATTTATTTCTTGTTAGAAAGAATATGTCTCCCATTGAGTGACAGAAACTCCGATGTACAGTCAGCAAAAAAATGTTCTGCACCCCTAGGTCTGATGGCCTCTGCAACGATCACTGACTGAGGCCATGTTAAGTTTGGTAAGGTTGGTATTTCTGGTTGTGTGATGCATTGTACAACCAGTATGATGTATTTTTTATATCACATATAGTTAATACAGAGAAATTAACAGGAATCACCTGCATAAATGAGTGTTGTTCAGAATTCTTGGTCCGGTGTCATATTGTATAGCACCATAAAAGAGCAGAAAAATTTGTGCTGACTGTACAACAGCCAACTTTATTCTTGTGGGAATGGCATATACACCTGTGACAAGTATACTGAACACAAAAACACACAAAGACGACAGTCCCTAAATGTGTCCACACAATTTTTATGTATATAGGGAAATAACAGGTATGGCCTAGCAGATAGAATTAGTCATAGATATGATATTCAAGAAGAAGAAACATGTCGACAAATGACAACTTATCAACAAAATGAGAGAAGTAATTCTGACATGTGTATTAAGACAGTGCCTCGGTGACAATATGCTTACAGTAATATTTCACACCAATATTTTTTTTTTCTTTGGAGGTATACCTGCATATGCTTAGCCTTTCATACTTAAAATCAAAGTCTTGTAAACCAAAAATCTTTGGTACCTGATGATTTCAGCAAGTAATCAACTACTTATATATTCATTCTGCCTTCATGAACCTTGGCCAGCTCTGTCTGCCATCCCCTTGTTGTACTGTACTTCTCTTATTCTCTTGCTCAAATGATTATTCTTTTAACTAGAACATTTTATTTACTCTTATTTTTTCATCACTTTAATAATAGTAAAAATCTATTATAGATTAAATGAGGAAGTTGAAGTGCTTTGAAAAGTGACAGAAACACGAGTAGAATATTTATTATTTATTTATCCGGGTTTTGTTTCCACGCAAATGTTTGTGAATGCACTAATGACACACACACACACATCTTCCTAATAATGGCCAATCAAAGGATAACAAAAGCACAAAATAAAGTCAGTATTTATTTTTTTACACAAGATGAATAAGGAGCATTATTTACACCTTTAACTCTGTACAATCAAGCCATTCACAAATTTATACATAAAGCCAAATACTGTACCAGGTCATTTCATAAACCTACATACACAAGCCAGAAAACTGTTATCATTCACAAATTCGAAGCACCTTACACTTACAATGGACAGCTCCATAAAACTACTTGACACTTCATCACATTTTGAGTTAGTGTGGACGAAGCGTTACCCCTTTATTGAGCCTCGGTATCACAAAATTTACATTGGCAGGTAAGTTACCCCCAGTGAAATAAATATTCCCATTGCTCCACTGGGTAACTGTTAATGTTTCAAATAATAATCCCCCCTCCCTACTATGAACACTCAAGAAAAAGTAAGTATTGCTTGAAGATATGTCACATATTTGGTATGTACAGTACGATGATTGCTAACAAGAAAAAAAAATGGGCTGAAAATAACACGGCTGAATACAGTAATTTTAAAGTTTATCATATAACTATTTAGTAATTACTCGATATTGTTTTCAAGAAGTAAACACTGTTGGTTTTTTAGGAGTTAACTGAAGGGATTATGGCTTGCCAATATATATGTCTGATGAACTCATAAAAAACACAAGCCTGTTCATGAAGATCATTAATGTTCACTGTCACTGCTGGATACTGTTAGTACTAATTTCTATGGTATGGTCAAAGTTGGTCACTGTTATGTCAAGGCCCTTATCTAACTACACTTTTTGACCTAAGAAATTACCACCCGTCTGTAGGAAACAGAAAATTCACCTTTTTATTTAGTCTACTTTTGTACAAATTAGGGAAGCTTAAATGTGTTTCATTTTTTTTTTTTAACTACTGGTAATCAATCTATATCTATACAGTAAGTTATTTTACATTCAAAGTGGCTGCTCTCTGTAAAACCTTCCTAAAACATTTTGATTTAGAGATCTTAAATTCATGAGTAGGGAAAACAACAAGAGCATTTCAATTACTGTACAGTATTTACTAAAATGTTCATTGTTAATTGACTTGTCAGATGAGTTGACCCCAAATTATACACAAAATGGATTTAGAGTGGTAATAGAAAAAAGGTTCCCTCGCCCCCAACAATGAAGAAAATAAGGGGGGGGTGGATTTTGGAAAGTTGTTGAGTCTAAGAATGTCACATAGCACTGAGCAGGACTGTTGCAAAAGGTCATGAAAAAGAATTCTTCAAAGTAACAGCCCTTGACAACCCATTGGTACTGCTTCCAAGACCATCTAGAACCATGTGGTCAAGTACAGTACTTCCATTAAAAGTTTGAAAAGATAAAAGTTAACTTCCCCTAAAATGTGTTTCCTGTCACTTCTAAAATTTGTGGAAATAAATTGATAAAAAGAAAACCACCAGGCATTAATACACTTACAAACAATCCTTCTCTGATGACTGCCTACATGTCTTCTGGTAAATCTTACTGAACAGGGCATCCTTAAGTATTGCTCAAGGCGATTTACACTCAACTTCATATCCATTCCATTGAAGAAGTGATGTTCAAGGCCACATTTTAAAATGAGAGAATTTCTACATTCTATGACTGGGTAGTGCTAGGACAGGGTACTATATTATACCCTTTTTCTACATCTTCAAATTCACCCAATCTTTCCATAAAGTACATACAAATTTCATGTATGGCACTTAACAGCATGGAAAAACTATTGAAAGAGTTCATCTGCAAATATTTGGATGAAGTACAATGCACTCCTACCTGCATAAATTACTAAGTACAGAGCATTGAGTGAATTCCTGAGAGAAGCTCAACATAAGCAATTGGCTGGTCACAATTATCTCTCCCCAAATTCCTGAGTGTTTGTATGACTTATCATCATCCTTAATATCAGAAAAAAGAAAAAAGTCCTGAACCTACTTAATATTTCCTATCAGCCCTGGCTCATAAGTTGTGTATCTCCTTGAAGCTCAACATCTACTGAGTCATCAATACTGCTTTTGAAGAAGTTCAGTTTTTATACTGACAGTTCCATTTTTACCTAATTTCATATTATCTTTGATCGATTGCATCCTAAACAGCCACAAACATCTTCACATTATGATATACTCTTTTTAAAAGAGTTGTTAAAAAAATTGTAGGAAAACGAGGAATGAGACTGGAAGACAAATTAGTTCTATTCATATAAAAATGTGACAAGTGTTACTTTTTCACACAACTAGTTACCCCCTGGATCACTTATTTTTATAATTAATATTGTTCCCAGATTACATTGAATCTATGCAGTTCTGTTATAAGGATTTTTTTTTTACATATTTAACAAACTCTCACGTGTAATGAACAGTGTATGAAAAAATAATAAAAAATAAACCGAGACAATCTACGACCCTTAAGACTCCTCAAAGTGCTACAAGATATAGGACCTGAAGAGCAGGCCAAGGTTCAATTGTATATACAGTACAGCAATAATATATTTTTCTCACTATGGAACAGTAGATAATATAATTAATAATAACAACATTGGGCAAGTTGTTAACATTCAAAATATATTCTCCTCACATTCTTAACCCACTATATGAACCTATGATAAGAATTATTTAAAACCCAATATAACAACTACATAAACCCAAGTGTTTCTATTGCCCAACTGAACCTTTGCAGGTTAACCCCACACTAATGCTCTCACAAAATTATCACTAAATTGGATCCAGATCCATTATACTCCAAAGTTATGAGATAACACATCTGTTAAGACTGCTACCAACTTCAAATTTTACAGTCTTCTTTCTGGCAATAACAAATCATTTGCTTGTTGTGTTACACTCTCGACCACTTCATGTACCAAGTGGTTAGAGGAAACTGACCCTGTATATAATTAATTCCAACCACAACCATTGTATACTTAAAAAAAAAAAAAAAAGAGCTTGATTTAACAATTCTATGTTTGTGTGGTGTATTTACAGTTTGCCACACATCAGTTATGTGTAATCAGCAGAATCTCTCCCAAACACTTGCATTATACTGCTATTTAAGAGAGGACAGCGAGGTTTAGACCAGCCAATATTTAGTCACTGTCGAGACTAAAATCAACATACTTTTCCTGACAAATTGACTAAGTAAGTCATTTCAGTCACTACAAAATTTATGCACTTTATTAAAACATTATTAAGAAGCCTTGATTACATTATGATCAAGGAAAAATTACAACAGTAATAAATAAATTTAATAATGGCATGTATCATACAAAAGTAACAATTATCATGATAATGATACAGCAGTCACAATAATAATAATATTAATTATAATAATTGTGGTGGTACTAACAACAACAGCAATAACAATAATAGCACTGAATCTTTTAATAAATACATTTGTAATCAGTAATATCAATTGAGATTGAAAAACAATGTAAATGTTACAAAATTTGACCAGACAGCCATGTAGAGAGAGACCTGAAAATCCTGTGTTTATAATGTTTATGTTTTGATTAAGCACTTTGTTGCAACATACACTTATGTAGTCTGTTGTGTTTGTGTTTTGATTGTGCACTTTGCCACAACACATCAGTCTTCAACGTAACAAGAACAGCACAGGTGCCGTCTGACAGTGCTTATGATTCCTAAGAATGCTAAAGAGGAACAAGGAAACGGCAACAATGTTCTGCAGCGTTCCTATTCAGAGAGCAGGGAAACCTAACTGTGACACTGAGCAGTTAGTGACCACATACAGTAATGGTGTAAGGCTGATGCTTATGTGTGGCAACAATACAAAATGTAGAGGACAGAATATAACCTGGTTTGTGCTACATCAAGGGAGGGAGGGAGGGAGGGGAGGACTAGCCATGGATGCAGTCGACTGTTACTTACTCCTTGATACGAACGTTGACGAATGACGGCGCTGTTTACTCTGGTTGGCAAAACAAAAATGTCAGTTACATTTAATAGCAATTTGAGTGCCTGCAAAATGAAATGGAAATTATTCTTCTGAAATGAATTAAACCATTCTTGGATTTCTACCAACCATTCATCTGCTCAGGTGCAAACATTGCAAATGTAAACAATAACGATCAACGTTCGTATTCACATCTCACACCAGACAACAATAACAAAGTAACGTGAGAATATTCTTGAACACTGATATAAATAAGTATTTTAACCAACCTTGATAACTTATTATAAATGTTTGGTGCGCTTCATTAGGCAGCACGAATTAGGACAGGAATTATGCTCCACAGACATAATTCTATGATCACATATATCAAGACACTTTCAAACAGTATCAAAACACTCCACACAGGAAAAAATATATATAGTCAAAAGAAATATAATCAAAACTTATGAAAAAGAAAACTTATACCTTTGGGTTAAGAAATATTTCGCTTTCCTAAATTGGGTAACTGAAGACGTAACCGTTATGTACGAAAACTGGTTATAAGGACGCATCCAAATACATTGTAAAATATTAAATCATAAATTAGCACACCTAAAATTCTATTCGAAAAAACATCCCTAAAGCTGTCTTAGGAAAAAGAAACAAGGCGAGTCTAAAAATAAGATACAGTACTGTATATGAAGAAGAAGAACTTGGAAGATATGAATTGTTCTTAAGAGATGGTTATGAGGTCTCAAGAGAGGATAGGGTAAAACCCAAAATAGCCATCGTGAATGACAGTTACCAGAGAAATCATCAGCCTGATGATCCTATCACACTTAAACCGAGGCAGTCCATCGTGATGCGTGCCCCACGTTGATGGATAAGGCTCAACAGCTCACTCTGCATAAGCAGCTTTGGCTCGCTTAGCTAGCAATAAAGCTCTAACTTGTATGGCTTAAACAAGAACAGTTTTACCAAGAAACATTTATACAAAAAATCTGTTAACTTGGTAAAACAGTGTTTGTTGATCTGTCTCTGCGAGAGGAGATTTTCAACAGGGCAGCTGCATCACCTGAGTCATGATAACTTCAATGGCTGTAAGGGCTAGAGGCACCAAGGCATTCATTTGCTAAATGGCCTAGAGACAATTATTCAATAATAAAACCATCACAGTGAACGAGGTGGTTAAGTAGTAACTGTGGGATGTTCAGCAAGCCTTCAACTTGTAATAATGCCATGATTCAATGTAGGGAGTCGCTACGTTACAAGCGATGCCCTTTACGTACTCTCCCCTGCCATAGATGTCAATGGCAAAGTTTAACACCCAGCAATGTCAATGGCAGGTTCTAATACTCATCAACATCAATGGTGAAGCTTAACACTCATTAACGTCAATGGCAAAGTTCGAAAGTTGTCAAAAAATATGACAAACTCCACCTATTTTTGTGTTACCATAAAGTGTATTTCATAATGCTTGAGTTCCTGCTCATAACAATTAGCCATTACACTTTCACACACTTCCTGTATCACATAGAAAAGATTCTACATAATGGACCCGTTACGTCAACTCCCTGACCAAACACTGTGGCTTACAAGTTGAAGATTGGCAGCGAGAAACATTCCAGAGGAGAAAACCGCAACCTTAGATGGCACCTCACGCTGGTTCTTGTGATAAATCCTTAAGCAAAGTAGATCTTGCATTTTTTAACTTGTCAAATCTTTTTATTAGATGATTATTGGTGGTTTCCAGTTCTTCTAATCTACTTTGGGCTTCTCGTAACTAGAAGGGAAATATACATAAAATTTAATCAGTATATTAAAGCTACACTTAATTAAGAAACATAAATATCCCTAAGAAACACAAAATGTACTGATTCAGCTGTTTAAGTTCATCCTTTTATAAACTAAATAATCAGAGAAAATTAAATCTGTACAGGTTTTCCCATTGTTCGTGAGCAGGTCTTATAATGTGTTCAACAACACACACTACGCTAAGAAATTATGCTAGAGTTGTGAAAAACAGCTTCCTATTGACACTTACCTCTCTTTGCAGTTTCCGTCTCTCACCCTTAAGTTCTTCTTCACTCTTTTCAAGTTCTTCTGACTGGGTCCTATAACGTGTTGAGAGAGCATCCAGCCTCGCCACCTAAAAATGAGATGCATAATCATCACACACACAAATCAACCAGATACTTATACCAGCACTGAAGACAGTGCCTAAGACTGTGACCTACTATATCCAGATTAGACTAAGTAGTTTTAAGATATATTTGTACCACATCAAGGTTAAGGTATCAACTCTATAATACAGTACTGCAACCATATGGGGGTTACTTTAATCAGTACTCTTAATCTAAATCTGTATTTGAACTTATATTTCTTCATAAAGAATCTGAATTTGAACCTCACTCATGAGTCATATACTGTACCTACCTCCTTCAAGGGTGATATTTGAACAAACAGAGAATTCAAACAAACAAACAAATATAAACACTTTGTAAAAGTAATCCTATTTAATGTCTAGTACCGTAAATGTACTGCACATATAACTAAAATTATTCCAAAAGTCCATCCACACTTTACCAACTTTACTGGTCTTAGAATTTTTTAGGCAAATAAAAAGCAGAAAGCTGTAACACAAACTGAGCTCTAGATGAAGGTCAATGAGGTGAGTTAGTGGGTAACATAAGGCTACTAAGGTCATGTGGGTAGTAATCTGCATGGTCAATGCTGGGCTGTATTAATTGTCCAGCTGCATTACTCACCAGGCTCTGCTGTGCACTCCACCAGCCTCACCCTTAAACTTATGTTTTCCCTACCTAGCCATTTCTATACCTAGCTTTCTGTTTATTCATCTGTGTGTATCTCCAATAACTTGTTTACCCAAGGACTCTCCCAAATAGTGTATCAGAAATGTCTTTTCTGCTAAAGCAATAGTTCTAACCAAACTCAATTTCATAGAGGAAATTGAAAAGATATCATCAGTTTGTGACCAACATAAATGTCTCCTATCTATAACTTTTTAATGAATAATAAAACATATCTGAAGAGATTCCAACACATCCATTTATGGTACTGGTCACCAGGATCATACTGTGATTTGCAACTGGTGAAGAGGAATAAGTTGTCTTTGACTAGACATGTTGGATTGTCTCATTCTCAGATACTCTGGTGGGGCAGATATACAGTACATTCACAAACACCACTAAATTATATGACCCAATGAAATAAAATAATACACAGCTAACAAATAAATGAGTATGAATAATAAATAAATAAATAAATAAATAAATAAATAAATAAATAAATAAATAAATAAATAAATAAATAAATAAAATAAATAAAATAAATAAATAAATAAATATACATACATTCATAAATAAGTAAAGACATGTACTGTACTCACATTAGCCTGCAATGTCGACACTTCTGCCTCTGCCTTCTGAACTCTAAACTTATATTCGTTTACAGTTTTGCTTTGCTCCTCTGAAAAATTTTAAAATTAAGAATCAAATACTTGATTAATCACACATAAATCACAAAAAAATTGGGAACTTGCAAGAACACCAACAAGCTTATAACCACTTCCACATGCAGAACTACGACAACTGTGTATTTACTTTGTTTCTCATAGTCTAGACCGTTCTCTTTTCTTCTGTTTTTGTTTCGTTCTTCTTCAAGTTCTAGTTTCAATCTTCTAACTTGGTCTTCTAAATCGTTTTTCTCCTCGCCAAACTTCTTTAACCTTATGTCTGCAAGAAAGAAAAAATCCCTTTATATATCCTCCACAGCATTACTGAAGGTGACCTTTTTCTCCATCTACATTGACTGGTAAACTAAAAGACTAAATAAGAGGTGTGGTTCATACCCCCGACCAATGCCAATTTTGAAAGGGTCCATCAACTGTATATCATGAACTGGCAAGTGAAATTTGGTTGAATTGCACCTGATAAAGTTTAAGTTATTGTAAGGAAACAATATGTCAACAAGAGGATAGACATATTTCCAAAGGTATGAAAGTATTTATTAAAACTGGAATATAATGGATGGGTTCAATTAAAAAATATAATAATAAATAAATAAAACCATCTTTTTTTTCCCCACAGCATCTGAAGACCCTGGGTTGCTGACAAGGGCATCTTATGGGTTTCTGTACCAGATTTGGTCAATTTAGAAAAACAATTTAAACTAAAAGCAACTAACAGTTACTGTACACTCGGTCCAAAATGTATCTTTATGATTTAGTGTGAGACAATATGACACAAAGGACAAAGGATTATGACAACCCGACCGAGACAAGAAGAGTCGCATTGTTCATTTTGAAATTCATTGGACCGTCCACAAAGATACCTTCTGTAGCAAGTTG